ACCTAGGGGAGGCCCAGGACCGGTTCAGATAATCGTCACTGGTGTTGGCCGTGAGCGGGAATCGAACCTGGGTCGCCAGGTTCATAGCGCAGTGCGCTAACCGCTACACCACCGCTCCCCACTACCGCACACACTCACATACACACGCTACCCGCACTGCCCCCGAAGCCACATCCTGCCAAGTCGAATGGCTCTAGAAGTCTAGATGCTAATCAACAGCACAAACGCACTGACTGCTGCCATTTGCAACCCATTACTCATTTACTGTCCAATCCTGGCCGATACCGTGGCCTTCACTTCGTGACCCTACAACACCCTCTCTCTCTCTCGGTGTCGCGGAACACGGCGTGTTTATAAGTTGCCTATGTCCGAGTCACAGGTTTGCTACGGACGGTGCGAAAGAAGTTCAACGTACAGTACATACATACACGCGCCTCCGATCAGCATGGTTCGGCTACGTACGATGCGAAAGAAGTTCAACGTACAGTACATCAAATGCGCCTAAAGTCACTGCATCTCGGGAGACTAAGCAGGATTGAGCCTGGTTAGTTCTTCAATGGGGTGATCTCAACCAAGGGCTTGCCAGGTGTTATAGTATGTGGTAGGGCTGCGAGGCATGCCCACGAGATGGAAGTGGTGTTGAGTGTCACAACTCTTCTCGATTATGCCTGATGAGTTTCCGCCGGGCACTCCCGTTTCGTTCACACACGGGCCAAACTTCTAAATGGCATTGGCCAAACATCTGTGTTTAGCAGAACTTGGCTTTGGGAGGGAAGGGGGGGGGGCAATACGTCTTCAAAGTCAGTGAGGCTTTTTCTGGGTAAATATTTGGCAAAAGTAACAAACATTTGGCAAAAGTAAACAATGGAATTGGCAATTCATGGGGGGGGGGGGGGGGGTGGGAGGAGTGCGTCCTATTTGATCTTACTTGCCAACAGCTAAAAGTTGCTCATTACACCTTGCCGGCTTATGCCGAAGCCTCAACTGTGTAGAGTTAACGTTAGGTCGTTGCTGTGACGGTGTCCTCACGCCCCTTGCCGATGCTCACTCAGCAAGCCTCCACAATTGCATCGGCGTTGGTCGCCGCTCTTAAAATTACAACTTTCAAACAAAACAGTTTCCTGTACGGGCTGTAAAGACGCAAGTCCAACGTTACGCCACCCAAACCGACCTTCCCTCCGTGGATTAATGTCGCACTGCAATCGTTACACTTATGTACACATAGCTGCCAACCCATGCGGCTTACCCCGTATTCTTGTACAGGGGAAATTTAGTTTTTAGGTCCATACGGCAAACAGGCCGTTTCAATACGGGCCAACACAAATTGTCTATTTGTTTGTGTGTTCTCCCTTGTGATGGGAACTTTGTAGGATGAACCTTGAGAAATATAAGTGCACGGGGTGGTCAATAAGGTCTGAATTGGTCCGTAATAAGGTGGGCACTGATACGGGGTTGTGGAAGGTATGCATTTATAGTTATAGGAAACTGTATACAAGTTCCTCGTTTCGCGACAACAACCGCCGTTCGCCGCCAAGTGTCAGAATCAGCATCTTTATTTAGACTGGAAGAATCCGATGAGCTATGAAGCTCTTTTTCACAGACGTCCAGTAAGGGGGCCGGTCAGAAACGAGTGCAGAAGTACTGTTATAGGAAAGCTAAGCAAGTCACAAAATAAATGAATAAAAGTCTATAATTCCGATTTGATGTCACCATGGTTCTTGTGCCAGGCTAGGTTCACTCTGAAACCACGTGAAGTGGTCGAAGGTTCGCTGCTGGCAGTAGGTCAGGGAACAGAGCCATTTGCCATGGGTTTAAATGACGGAGACGACTGGCAGACGCAGACATCTGTAACTCCCCCACGGTGTGCCAACTCCGCTGCTGCGTTTTACATCGCCCGGCGCTCCGCTCGTTGTTGTGAGCGTCGCTCCTCTTCTGCTGCCCTCCGCTGTTGTTGGAGGGTTGACTGCCTCCAAACGTACCCGTCACCCTACAGCTAGAGAGGAGCAATCCAGCATCCTTCACGAGCCTCTTCCACCTCCACAGAGGCTGATCTTTGAATTACGCTGGTACCAGTCATTTGTGTTGCAAAAAAAACCAAAAGATCCTACGTATTGACTATAACAGACTGTAGCGGCAAGTGTTTTTCAGCGAGCACCTATGAATGCCGGCACGGCACACGACGGGGTGGGTGGCCAGCACCACGCCCGACCGCCTTTGTCTCCCCAGTGGTGATGTTTTTACGCACCTCACCGGGTTATTAATTTGAGGCCGAGTCGACCTAGGGGAGGCCCAGGACCGATTCAGATAATCGTCACCGGCGTTGGCCATGAGTGGGAATCTAACTCGGGTGCTTTGGGTTGTTCACAGGGCAGCGGCGCTCACGGCTACACCACCGCTCTCACGACAACACCACCAGGTCGACTCGACCTCAAACCAGCACCCTTGGTGCAGTGCGTAAAACATCGCCACTGGAGAGACAAAGGCGGCCGGGGCGTGGTGCTGGCCACCCCACCGCCTCGTGCGCCGTGCTGGCCTTCATAGGTGCCCCAACAGTCTGTTGAGGCTGTACGGGGATGGGCAGGGGGGGATCTTTATCAGCAACACGCACGCTGGCATTGCCCACTTTAGGGGGGATCACCAGAAAGTGCTTGTGAAACCCTCCCCAACCGGTCGGTTACGCGCGTTTCCCTCCGTGACCCTTTAAGACGGGCACACCGCGAAAGGCTCTCAACACCGACGGGAAGTTAACAAACAAAAAACGCCTGCACAGCACCACCAACCACAACCACCCACCACCTATCCAACATCCACCCAGCACCACCCTCCCACCCACCCCCTCCACTACCACCACCCACCCACCCCCTCCACTACCATCCACCACCACCCATCCATCCACCCACCCCCTCCACTACCACCACCCACCCATCCACCCCCTCCACTGATGCCGCGTTCGGTTCAACACGCGGCTGGCTGCTGGCAGCGGCGACTCCGCGCTGAGGGCGCGAAGTCGACACCCACGGACTCCGCACGACTGCACCATCGACGACTGCCTACTTACTGCACTTACTCGGCACCTCGTCGCGAGAGGGGATCTTTGTTGTTGTTCGTCCTCTAAATCCGAACGCGGAGAAGAAGGATTTGGTTTGGAGGAGACAGCGGAGGACAGGCGGCTCGCTCGCTGCTGCTGCTGCTGGGAAGGGCGAAGGGGACGAAGTGCACACAGATCGATGGACACGGACAACGTTCTGCCTCCTGGCTCCGGACGAGGATAATTTATCCGCCAAGCAACGAACACTTTTGTATTTCGGTACCGCTTTTGTCGAGGGTTTAAACAAAAAAAAATTAACTCCCCCACCTCCTCCTGCTCCTCATCGCTCAGAAATGTTCTCGGGATGCTGTGGCAACAGGTGAAGTGAAACGATGTTCATTTGCGTCGGAGCTGTCTTCAAACTCCGTTGTTTCTGTGCACCGATGTTGTGTTGTCGTCTGTGTGTTGTCTGTGTGTGTGTGTGGTCTCTGTGTGTGTCATCTGTGTGTGTCGTCTGTGTGTGTCGTCTGTGTGTGTGTGTCATTTGTATATGTGTCATCTGTGTGTGTGGTCTGTGTGTGTCATCTGTGTGTGTGTCGTCTGTGTGTTGTCTGTGTGTGTGTGGTCTGTGTATGTGTCGTCTGTGTGTGTGGTCTGTGTGTGTGTCATCTGTGTGTGTGTCGTCTGTGTGTGTGTCGTCTGTGTGTGTGTCATCTGTGTGTCATCTGTGTGTGTGGTCTGTGTGTCGTCTGTGTGTTGTCTGTGTGTGTAGTCTGTGTGTGTCATCTGTGTGTGTGGTCTGTGTGTGTGTCATCTGTGTGTTGTCTGTGTGTATGTCATCTGTGTATGTCGTCTGTGTGTCATTTGTGTGTGTGTGGTCTGTGTGTGTGTCATCTGTGTGTGTCATCTGTGTGTGTCGTATGTGTGTTGTCTGTGTGAGTGTGGTCTGTGTGTGTGTTGTCTGTGTGTCATCTGTGTGTGTGTTGTCTGTGTATCATCTGTGTGTGTGTCATCTGTGTGTGTTGCCTGTGTGTCGTCTGTGTGTCATCTGTGTGTGTGTCATCTATGTGTGTATGTCATCTGTGTGTGTGTTGTCTGTGTGTGTCGTCTGTGTGTCGTCTGTGTGTGTGTGTCATCTGTGTGTGTGTCATCTGTGTGTGTGTCATCTGTGTGTGTCATCTGTGTGTGTGTCATCTGTGTGAGTGTCATCTGTGTGTGTGTCGTCTGTGTGTGTGTGTGTCATCTGTGTGAGTGTCATCTGTGTGTGTGTCGTCTGTGAGTGTCATCTGTGTGTGTCGTCTGTGTGTGTGTCATCTGTGTGAGTGTCATCTGTGTGTGTGTCATCTGTGTGAGTGTCATCTGTGTGAGTGTCATCTGTGTGAGTGTCATCTGTGTGTGTGTCATCTGTGTGTGTCGTCTGTGTGTGTCGTATGTGTGTTGTCAGTGTGGTCTGTGTGTGTGTGTCATCTGTGTGTGTGTGTCATCTGTGTGTGTGTGTCATCTATGTGTGTGTGTTGTTTGTGTGTGTCGTTCTGTGTGTGTATTATCTGTGTGTCATCTGTGTGTGTGTGTCATCTGTGTGTGTGTGTGTCATCTGTGTGTGTGTGTTGTCTGTGTGTGTGTGTGTTCCCCGTGTGTCTCGCGTTTAAGCGCTACTAACCCCGGCCACCCGAGTTCGATTCCCGATCGCGGCCACTCAACAACGGTCCCGGGCCTCCCCTAGGTCGGCTCAGCCTCAAACGAGTACCCGGGTGCGGCGCGTAAACAAACCCATCGCCACTGGTGAGAGACAAAGGCGGCCGGGCGTGGTGCTGGCCACCCACCCACCCCCTCTGTGTGCGCCGTGCCGGTAGCCTCCATAGGTGCTGCTCGCTAACAGCACTTGCTCCCAGCAGTCTGTTAAAGGATATACGAGGAAGGGGTGGGTGGGGAGGTAATTTTTGTCGTTTTGTTGCAAATGTTTTGCGTGCAGATTTAGGAAGCGTAAACAGGCATCGCTGAGCTTGGAGGTCGGTGCTCTGCAGAATGGACGAGTGGCAGAGGAATCGGGTGAGCTTGTGCTACAATAACCCCCCCCCCACCTCTTCTCCCCACACGCTTTACCTGAAATCGTCACAGTGGGATATCGTCTATCCACCGCTGGGTTGTATGTACGTTGAACTGCTTTCGCACCGTACGTAGCCAACCGTGGCTAATCGGAGGTGCGGTGGATGGACCTACAGACTAAACGCACAAAAACAGTTCTACAGAAATTGTTCAGTCTAGATGATGTGAAAGTGCATAAGCTCCCCCCTTCCTGATTGGCCTCCCACGGCTATCCGCTCGCGTTACATGCCCGAGATGCACCACGGGCGAGAACGTCTCTCTGCACGTTCACCGTCAACTCACGCATGCCTCCCCACCCCCCTACCTCCCCACAACTGCTTTGGCTGCTATTCCATTGTTAGTCTCGAACCGTCGAGCCAAAATGTGCTGTGGACAAGCATGAGTTCTCCAAGTTGTCTCTGAAGTTGCGTTTGATCTCTGTTCCATATGGTCCGCTTTCAGTATTGCCAGTATCATTCGAGGCGTACATCTATCTCCGCGTGCTTCACTGCACACTTTTATACGCTTTGTAATTTGTATTTACGTACAAATTGCGTTTATGCAGTTTGTATACACGTGTATGTTGAACTTGTTTTGCACTGTGCGTAGCCAATCGTGCTAATCACAGGTATTCTGTACCCATGTTTATAGTTTGCCTGGTAAATTTTAAAATGAGTGATTGCTTGTGGTTATAATTACAGGTTTGGGCTGTTGGTGCACACGGGATATTTATTGAATTAAAAATACATCTGAGGGTTTTTTTATTTTCGTCAATAAGTTGTTGGGAAAGGTGTGGCACAAGAATGTTTTCATAGCTTAAGGCACAGGCTGTGAATGTGTTCCTTCCGTATCGGTACTTACCCAACCAGTTTTTAATCTTTCTCTCGAGAAAACAAAGGCATTCTTAAGAGATCGTGTTCATCAACGATTGGCATGAGGTAGTTGCTATTAATGCCATGTGACAAAACAATGATTTGTAGCGAAAAAGTAAAAGGTTCATGGGTGACCGGGCGAGTCTCTGGACTTAGTGCATGAACATGGGCTCATATCCTGGTTCAGAAGCAGGTTTAATCATCCATGATTAAACCAGCTTCTCAAGTCTATAGTGAGTGGATGGGCTTAGCCCAAATATATAATGTTAGCTCAAAAAAGGATGATTAATTTTATATTCGATTTGAATATTTTTGTTATCTCTTGAGAAATTAAAACACTGCTTTGTCTATACTCTTTGGTTCTATTCGGTAAAGTCACGTAGGTAAAAAATAAAACAACAACAAAAAATCACGACGTTTCGGCCACAACACAAGCGGCTTTCATCAGGTGAAGGGACCAGGCTGATGATGAAGGCCGCTTGTGTTGTGGCTGAAACGTCGTGATTTTTTGTTGTTGTTTTATTTTTTACCTACGTGACTTTACCGAATAGAACCAAAGAGTATGGATCCTTGCAGTCACGAAAGCTTCAAATCTAGAACTGCTTTGTCTGCCAGCTTTAAAAAAAAAAAACATTCTGTGCAACAGGGAAATGTGAGGAAGTGAGTCCTCTGTTAAAAATAAAATCCGTCACTTGAAGGTATATCAGTAGTTGTTGCGTGACATCTCCTTTTACGGGCTGTCCTCTGACACCGGTATTTGCATACTTGATAGACGTTGTTAATGGAACAATCAGAATACAACTTGTAAACAACCAGTAGGAGGCAGGATGTGGAGGGGTGAGGCACCATTTTTAAAAGGGCCATAAATAATTGGCCACAAAAAAGTAGTCCATTACAATTATTCTTCGACTGATCAATAAACAAAAATTGATTAACCGTCCCAACTCTGTCAACACAGTCAGTGTAGAGCTCAGAGAGAAGCAAGCTGGTGGTTCAGTAAACCCAGACGTTTGGTGCGTCTTGTCAGGAAGCCTACCCTCAAATGCTGTGCACCAAAACAATTCTGACGAGTCCATCTCTTTCTGGAAGTGTGAGGGGAATTCCGAGCAGAGTGTGCCCTCAACATAACCAGATAATTTCATGTGCCCTCAGAATAATTCAGTGTTCCCTCAAAATAACTGCACAACGGACATAGCGACTGTACAAAACCCCAATTAATTTCCATTCCAAATGTCGATTTACATCTTGAAGTGTAACTTATATTTATTTTATATAACGATACTTTGATTTAAACAAATTACCAGAAAGGAAAAAAATATCACCACTGAATCCACCACTTGTTCTTTCGAACATGGTTTAAAAAAAAAGACAAGCAACAGGCTACATTTGTATGTTTCATTTTGTAAGTCATTCTACCACATCCGGGGCGATAGCTGAGTGGAGTCTGCTTGTTCCACCAAGTTACACGTGGTTGTATTGGGCAGTCATCAGTGATATGCCTGATGGTGTGCACCTCTCCGTTTGTATGGAGGAACTGTCCACAATTTCCTTGTTGTTGGGACATGGTTTGAGAGCCCGGTCCCAACTGTCGTCAGGCCAGAAGAAACCATGCTGTTCCTTCGTCGGGGTCTTTAGTAACGTTCTTGTTCAGGACAACGCTGCTGTTCCCCGTCCCGCGCCATTGGTTGACGGGGTCCTTTTCTGACAGATGAGACGAGACACGTGTGACCAAAAATGGATGCCTCGATTTGAGACATGGGACGGTGGGGATTGGATGTCGGGCTGAGATTGCTGAAAATCGCTAACGAATTCTGAAAAGGCACAATCCAACGTTACATTCGTTCTTGTACAGTATAGTACTACACTGGAACTGCCTGGCATGAGCATCGCTTCGGCATGCTGTTCGGTTTTTAAGATTTTGGGAGTGTGATATTCTTGTTCTCTAAAAAAATAAAAAATCGGCTTTCAGGGGTTCCCAAAAATACATTACATGCGGGAACAAGGTATAGTCGTCCGCGTTATTTTTTACCACACACTGTAATTGTACTGTGGGCAAGTTTTCAAGGTTGTGCTGTACAGGTTTCCGATCTGTTTTCGGGTTTTACCGCGTGCTGCTTGGCACTACATCTTGAGATTTCACTCATGGTGCTGGAACTGAATTGAGTTCCTGGACCAGCTCCCAGCACGTGGCCCGGAACCTCGGAGCATAATGCCGAACAACATGCCGTTAGAACCCCAGAACACATCGCGAGAGCTGCAATGCAATTGCATTGGGATGAGGTCATTGTACGCCTTTGCAAGCATCTGCTCCGTGGGCATGGGGGACACAACGTCCATTTTCCAGGGTTGATGGATCATACGTTGTTTTTCTGTGGATTGGCAAAATCACCACAATGCAGTCTCCTCTTGAAAACACATCTTGAGACTCAGCGATGGTTTCCCTTGATGAATAATTAAATGTTGTCGGCAGACTGCAATTCCCACTGCTGGACAAAGGTCTCCACCATTTTCTGTCATTCCCTCCTTTCCTTCGTTCTTGTCCAGTCGTTGCCTCTGGACTCGTTGATTCCGTCTCTCCATCCCGTCCGCCATCATCCCCTTCGCTGCTTTCTTTTGCCTTCTCTCGGCCACCCACTCCACGTGTATCTCGTCCGCCATCGCTCATCAGTTGTTTCTCACGATGCGGGCCGGCCCATATTCCCGCTCGAATTTAAATGAATGACGCGGGTTAAACGAAGCTCCGCCACCCCCCTTCTCCCCGACAGAGTTCACGAGCACGCCACTGCTGGCACGCGTGCCCAGCACGGGACGGCAGTTCCCTCCCGTGCCCATCGGCCGGCTCGAGGAGGACCTTATCCGGCGCTCGGCCGACGAGTGCAAGCTCTTCCGCGACGAATTCAACGTGAGTCGCGCACCGCAATGGAATGCCAGCCAGCCTATGCACCGTACTCCACTAACACAGATTCGTGCAGCACTGTCTTTATTACCAGAGTCCTGCACCTCACTCTCCTGCCAGATACTCGCAGTGCACTCTAATGGCAGCGACTTACACCTCGCTCTCCTGCGAGAGACTCTCACAACACTCCAGTGCCAGACACTCGCACAACACGCTCCTGTCTGCGAAGGGCAATTTGTCAATGTCGAGTGAAATACAGTACCAGCTTAGGCGATTTAGAGCATTTTTGTCAATCCATGCTGGATGAGGACGTCTCCACACAGCGTCAGATGTAGGAGTCGTCTGACCATGGATCAATCCCCGCTGGTCAGTGTGGGTTGGTAAAGGGGGCCCAGGACTGGTTCATATTTTACTTGCAACTGATGTTAGCAGTGGCCCGGTATCGAAATTAAATTGGTCAAAACGCGAAAAAAACCACCTGATTGAACGAGAATGTAATTTCTCAAGATGTGGAATGAAAGTTTGAAAACTGAAATTTAAAAACATCTTCCAGCCGACGTCGAAATGGACTCGGATGTCGAACTGCTCAGGTTTTCACGCCAGGTGGAGTGAAGTAGGAACTGCTTGGACTCATTCATGGAGCTCCAGAGAAGGGGCCCAGAGAAGAGCTCTCTTCCCTTTTCCTCGTGCCACACAGATGTAGTTGTCATTGTGTGATTCACAGCTCTTTGTCAATCCCATGCCTGATTTGTTCCCGCACCTCCGATTAGCATGGTTGGCTACGTTACGGTGCGAGAAAAGTTTAACGTACATACAGAGACTGCCGGATAGAGGATTCCCCACGCAGTGCCGGTTATTGGAGTTATTCAACTAGACTTCGCCATGCGGGGGTCATTGCAGTTTGGCGAAGGGGAGAGGACCAGAACCAGTTAATATGTATCGCTCAAAACTGATTTCAGCCGTGGCCAAGAATTTTACTCCTTGTCCACCGGGTTCACACGGCAGTGCGCGAACCACTGTGACATCTTCATCCATTACCAGGGGGTGCTGCGTGATAACTACCACAACATACATTGTATACAAACACCACATACATTGTATAGAAATAAATATAAATTCGCCACGTTTACCATTAACGCTGCCTCACAATAGACAAATATGATGTATAATAGGCTGACGTTCCTGGAAAGGACCCTCATAACAGCTTGGAAGCTCTTCCAGTAGCTCAGATTGGGCACTCTAAAGGGCATACCCCCGAAATGTCATCCGTTTACGTATTTTTCTTCTATAAAGAAGCGTTGATGGTTCATTTTATGAGTTTATTTACTTTTATATGCGTTCTTGTGCACCACTGCTAATGCAAGGAGCGTGCACTGTACATATAATAAAATAGCTTGAACATAATTTTTTATTCAAATGCATCTGCAGGTTAATGAACTTTGAACCGACAAAACCCTGACACGAAGCTTGAATTGCTAGCGCGGAATGTAAACTCAAGTTCGGTGCATTGCCCAACAAATACTTCACTTGGCTTTATAGTATTTGATCCCCTGCTGATTTTGTACGTTTGCCCACTGACAAAGAAATGATCGGTCTATAATTTTAATGGTAGGTTTATTTGAACAGTGAGAGACAGAATAACAACAAAAAAATCCAGAAAAACGCATGTCAAAAATGTTATAAATTGATTTGCATTTTAATGAGGGAAATAAGTATTTGACCCCCTCTCAATCAGAAAGATTTCTGGCTCCCAGGTGTCTATTATACAGGTAATGAGCTGAGATTAGGAGCACACTGTTAAAGGGAGTGCTCCTAATCTCAGCTTGTTACCTACAAGACCATTGCCAAGCAGCTTGGTGAGAAAGTGACAACAGTCGGTGCGATTATTCGCAAATGGAAGAAACACAAAAGAACTGTCAGTCTACCTCGGCCTGGGGCTCCATGCAAGATCTCACCTCGTGGAGTTGCAAGGATCATGAGAACGGTGAGGAATCAGCCCAGAACTACACGGGAGGATCTTGTAAATGATCTCAAGGCAGCTGGGACTGAAATCCTGCAGCGCCTGCAAGATTCCCCTGCTCAAGAAAGCACATACACATGCCTGTCTGAAGTTTGCCATTTAACATCTGAATGATTCAGAGGACAACTGGGTGAAAGTGTTGTGGTCAGATGAGACCAAAATGGAGCTCTTTGGCATCAACTCAACTCGCCGTGTTTGGAGGAGGAGGAGGAATGCTGCCTATGACCCCAAGAACACCATCCCCACCGTCAAACATGGAGGTGGAAACATTATGCTTTGGGGGTGTTTTCTGCTAAGGGGACAGGACAATTTCACCGCATCAAAGGAACGATGGACAGGGCCATGTACCGTCAAATCTTGGGTGAGAACCTCCTTCCCTCAGCCAGGGCATTGAAAATGGGTCGTGGATGGGTATTCCAGCATGAAAATGACCCAAAACACACAGCCAAGGCAACAAAGGAGTGGCTCAAGAAGTAGCACATTAAGGTCCTGTAGTGGCCTAGCCAGTCTCCAGACCTTAATCCCATAGAAAATCTGTGGAGGGAGCTGAAGGTTCGAGTTGCCAAACGTCAGCCTCGAAACATTAATGACTTGGAGAAGATCTGCAAAGAGGGGTGGGACAATCCCTCCTGAGATGTGTGCAAACCTGGTGGCCAACTACAAGAAACGTCTGACCTCTGTGATTGCCAACAAGGGTTTTGCCACCAAGTACTAAGTCATGTTTTGCAGAGGGGTCAAATACTTATTTCCCTCATTAAAATGCAAATCAATTTATAACATTTTTGACATGCGTTTTTCTGGATTTTTTTGTTGTTATTCTGTCTCTCACTGTTCAAATGAACCTACCATTAAAATTATAGACTGATCATTTCTTTGTCAGTGGGCAAACGTACAAAATCAGCAGGGGATCAAATACTTTTTTCCCTCACTACATGGCTATGGATGAAATGCACCTTACAAATAGAAATTGTTATTATAAAAAACCTTAATACTTACTTGCTCATTATGAACAAAATAATGCATCTTGCTCATGTGTCTCTCCAAAAAATATTAACTTCACCCCCCCCCCCCTGCCCCCCTGTCCTATGGGCTTCCACACCCCCCACCAATATATTGACCCACTGGCCACCTCTGTGTAGAAACTTTAAATCATGTTTCATGTGTTTTTATACTTTGTCACAGTGGTATAGGTTTTTTAAATCAAAGTTCGTGGACGACTTTGTCTCAACGGTCAATAAATGTCCCATAATGTGCAAAGTTTAATTCACGTTGTACTTTGTCACAGTGGCATGGTTGTCACCAAAGTAAACTGCAAATGTACGAGTACAGGGTTGATGGATCATACGTTGTAGATTTGTGAACTGGCCAATCCGCCCCAATGCAGAACCCTCCTGAAAACACATCTTGAGAAAGGGTGACGGTTTCCTCGGTGAAGAATGAAATATCTTCCCACCGCTTGGGAGAAGACATCTCACCCCATTTTCTTTCATTCCCTCCTTTCCGTTCGCCGTTCTTGTCCAGCCGTGGCCACTGAGCTCCTTGGTTTGGTGACGATTTACATTTAACTTTTTTTCTTTTTCAGGGTCTGCCCAGTGAGCATCCCCAGCTGATGTGCGAGGCCGCGAGCCAGGAGGAAAACAAGGACAAGAACCGCTACATCAATATCCTGCCGTGTGCGTTCCTCATCTCGCCACGCGCGCGCCCTGCTCCGCGGCCGTCTCATCAACAAAAAAGTTCTATAAAACGGCATATATATTGTGCGCTCGCTGCGATAAATAGACCACGCGCCGTTTCAAAGGTGGTTTTGATAAATATTGCACCCTTGCTGCCCTCGGCGGTCATTACGCACTTTCAAATTTGTTTAGCATCGGCACGTGTTGCCGTTGGTTTGTTGAGCCGCGCGAGGGTCCATTGATGTTCGAGGTCACTGATAGGAGGAAGGAAAATTTGAAATTGTGCTTTTCTTGGGGGAAATTTTAATATCGTCCTCATGATCGTCAGCCGTGGTCCAATACGCGACTGAATGAAGGCCCTCTCCAAGCTGCCACCGCCACCTCCCGCTATCCTGCAATAGAATCCTAAACTCTACCTCTCTGGCCTTTCTCTTACGCTGTGAGGAAGGGCCATTTCACAAAACGTCACATATTGTTTGCTTTTTTCCCCCTTTTAGGCAGTGTTATTGACAAATGTAACAAAAAAAATTGTTAAATAATACCAATGGTCAAACTCAGAATCCATCCTGTTGGTACCCGGTGAGTCTTTGCACCTCTGCACCATCGCCCTCCCAACTGACGACATGGTCGGCGGGCCACTGGGGGCTATGGTTTTGATGTTGTTGGCCATTGGGGATGCTGTGGGGTGGAGGGGTTGGTTTGACCACACTTTACCACTCTCATCAGCGTGGATAGGTGAAGCGAACACATTTCGTCTTGCCTTTCGCTGCCCCTAGCGCAGGGTTGGACAATCCAAATAACAATGGGAGGCATTTTTTTTTTGGTACAAAACTCAGTATTTCAAGTGTCGCAATGCCTATACATCCATCACGTGTCACGAAGCAGTCTGTAAAGAGCTGCCGGTTGCTGACCCCTGCCCTAGGCAGTAGAGGCACTCTGGTCTACAAGGCACTCCAACCTCTTTGCCATGGCAAGGCAGAAATGTAGTCGTGAGTTAATTTTATAATTAGTTCGGCTACGATGTTTGATTTAATTTGCTTTTCTAATCGGGATTGCTGACCGAAGGCCCTTAAGTCCCAAAATACCGAGCGGCCAGCAACAAACTGCACCATTGAAGCTGAAATGGATAACGGTTGAAACGTTTATGGACTTGAGCAAGATTACAAGAACTTTGGAAGAGAGTCAATGATGGGAGGAAGAAACTGAAAGAAGTGTTGTCACCTGCAGTATAGTGAGTCAGTGGGTGAGTGCGTCGTGACCTGCAGTGTGGTGAATCATTGAGTGAGTGGGCGAGTCATTGAGTGGGTGCGCGAGTGTGTTGTGACCTGCAGTGTAGTGGTTGAACACCGCTCAGGTGGGACTAAACAGTCAGCCTCGTGAATCGAGTCCTCAACACGAGTGCAAGAATTGATAATTTATGTTCTTGGGAACAATAAACAAAATAAGAGTGACGGAGGAAACTGAGCGACGCAACTATCTTTTCTCGCAAATGTTGCCACTTGCATTAAACGTTCACTTTGGAGCATATGGTGCTTTGATGATGAATTAATTACTGAGCCTTAATTTAACCAGAGGGCCTCGGGTCCATTAAACTCGAAGCTAATGAAATCACATTTTCCGTACTCTTTAGTCATACACTGAAGGTCACTGGGCAATTTTTTTTCAGTGCTGGAGTTAATGTGACACTGTTCCCACCCCCCATCTGTGTATTTTTCCTGCAGATGACCAGTCTAGGGTGCAGCTGAGCCCAATAGAATCGGTACCCGGATCCGACTACATAAACGCAAGCTACATAAACGTACGTCGGGAGACTTTGCGCAATGCAAGCACGATGCCGTCATCACGCTTCAGATACCAAGAAAGAGTAAACGCAAACCCGTACCGATTTTTGCGTTGAATGAGACGCCAGAATGTCAATGAGGTACTCTTGCCAATAAGATGTTATACCAGTGGGATTAAGCCAATCCAGAGTGCACTTACTTGAACCAATGCTGCTTGATACTGGTAGGAACCTCCTGGTTACACTAGCCCACAGGGGATTATTGTGTCCGTCCGTCCGTCGTGCATCCAAAAATGGGAGGGGTCGTGCTGGGTGGAGAGGGGAGGGTGGCGAGGGTGGGGCTGGGTGGGGCTGGGTGGGGAGGGGAGGGTGGGGAGGGGAGGGTGGAGAGGGGAGGGTGGGGAGGGGCTGGGTGGGGAGGGGAGGGTTGGAGGTGGTAGGGGTGGGGCTGGGTGGGGAGGGGCTGGTCACCCCGTGGTGCCCTTTTAAAACTCAACGTTTAACCTACTCACGCCGACTTGTGCCCGCCCTCACAGTCGGGCATATTTGCGGAATACACCACGTGGTGCCGCCGTTGACCCTGGCCATTGACCGAGCAACCCAACGTTCCTACCAGCTCCCTCGGCAGGAATGTGTTAATATTGTGCCTGGAAAGCCAACAGGTGGATGGATGTAAGCAAATGCTTTATTTGCATGTGGAGACACAACATAGTTCTGTTTGTGCTCCGTTTGCTCTTACCCAAAAATATGAATGTCGCCGCTGTATAGATGCCAGTCACTGCATTGTTGACCTTTTCACCCATTTCCATTTTATTTTGTCTTACAGGGATACAGAGAAAAAAACAAGTTCATAGCAGCCCAAGGTAACATTGAGTCATGGGGCATCTAATTAAAACGCGTGACATTTTGAGTACTGGATTAAATATAGTAGCACTGTATGCAGTTTCCGGAGAAACAGACCCAGGGTTGAGTGGGTTTCAATAATACGACTGTCACAATAATAGAATAAATGTATTTAGAAAAAATGGTGGTAAAAACATTACATGTAGGTTGGGCAGAGTTTTTTTTTTCACTTAAATTCACGTGGGTAATCGTTAGTACAAGGATATTGTGGCTTTTTTTTTTCTTGGGTATAGCGATGTGCACTCATTTGCACTGCAATTCAGAACAACAAAAAAATATTCGCCTTTCTTGAAAAGGGAGAGACGATTATAAAATACCGCGGTAGTGTTGGACGTGCTCGGACGGAACGACTCTTTTTACTCATTCTGGGGGGGACGGTGACTTTTTTTAGTTTTGTGTACAGCACGTGGCAAACCATTGAGTTACTCCACAAATTAGCCAAAGTTTAGAACACTATAGCCGCTTACTTTCAAAATAAGAGAATGTCTTATGATGAATTTTAAGTGATGACTGTGAGGGCACTGCAAAAGGTCCCACACGGGTGTGGTGCCACGGGGGAGAATAGCGATGTTGCGTTTTTAAATATCTGTACGTGAATTTGTCCTTCGATCGCACCTCCGAGTAATGCGGTTGGCTTCGTACAGTGCAAAAGAAGTTCAACATACACGTCTGCTCCACAGTCCTTCACATCCTTGTTCACTACTCCCAACCGCCTCTTTCCATCTCGGCCTGCCTCTAGGCCTCTGCCATGCTGCTTCCAAGTCCCATTGCCTTCCTTTCCGATGTGGTTATTCATTCTCTTACGAACATGTCCCCCGGAGCCACTCGAGTCGATCTTTCTTCCTGCTTGTCTGAGACGGGCACCACCAACTCTTGCCGACTTGCTCTCTTCATTTCCGACCCAGCCTTGTGGTTCATGAGGTTAATCTCGCCATTCTGCGATGCTTTGCCGTGGTGCTCTCTCGCTCTCTCTCTCTCTCTCGAGAGAGAGACGTCCCTGCTGAAACGGATACAAAAACATGTTAATCTAAAGGACTGCTCACCAAGGCACAGTCGCAATGCCCCCTAGGCTGCGTGTGCCATCTAGCGTCACGACGATGCGCCCGCATCTCCGTTTTCAGTCTTTTCAGTGCAGCACAACCCCCCCCCCCCCCCGAGCACCCCCATTTAATGTGCGGCACATGTGTTGTACATACGCAGCTCTTTTTGCTCTAAACGCTGCTGGATGAAGGCTTCCCGAAGCTGCGTGGATCGTGCGGGCTTATTTCACGTGTAGCTTATTGCCCATTGAAAGTCACTGCATGCAAAAAAACATGCATTTATTGACAAGAATATGAATGATGTGAAAATGCTTATGTCCTGTTTGAAAGTAGGATATGGCTTTGGAAGGACGTGTACATGTTTACCCGTACTGCTGTATTGATTTCCTATTGAGATTTTTTTTTAATTTAACACCACCTAGGTGGCACTAATTATTATTATAATTCTTTGTTTACATTTTTAAACCCGGTAATACAAGTCAACTGTGGAATGATACACGACAATACTGTATTTTAACAGTGGAATTGTTATTGTATGTGAAAGTGAAGAACACATGTTGTGTAAACTCCGCATTGTGAACCACATGAATGCAACCAACAGAGGCAAATAATTTGACTTCCGTTATTGTATCGATAGACGAAACATGTGCACTTGGGAGAGATCAACTTCTCCGTATCGGTTTTTTAATTTAACACCACCTAGGTGGCACTAATTATTATTATAATTCTTTGTTGACATTTTTAAACCCGGTAATACAAGTCAACTGTGGAATGATACACGACAATGCTGTATTTTAACAGTGGAATTGTTATTGTATGTGAAAGTTAAGAACACATGTTGTGTAAACTCCGCATTGTGAACCACATGAATGCATCCAACAGAGGCAAATAATTTGACTTCCGTTATTGTATCGATAGACGAAACATGTGCACTTGGGAGAGATCAACTTCTCCGTGTCGGTTACGGCGGTGAACTTTTAAATGCCACGTTCCATGCCTCACTTCACCAGCAATTACCCCCTTTTTGCTCACAGGTCCGAAGGAGGAGACAATAAATGATTTCTGGAGGATGATCTGGGAGCAGAACACTTCCACCATCGTCATGGTCACCAACTTGCAAGAGAGGAAAGAGGTAGCGCGGGGGGTCAAGGGGTGTCGAACATTGAACCAGCAGCGCTGACGTCCTGGGTTCACATCCAAGCATCTACTTTACATCACCTAGTTCAGTGGTTCTCAACCGGGGGTGTGTGTGGAACCCTGGGGGGTACACGTGGCAATGTCCCAGGGGATACGTGAGGTGATTTATAAATGTGTGAAATAATATCGTACGCGAGTCATTGGTGAATAATCACGCATTAATCTGCCAATGTAAAATAACAACGATAACATTTTAATCCATATGGTAACCTAGAGCGACATAAAAGACCTTTATAAGCTCGCTGATCGTAAACAACGTTGTTTCCTAGAGTAACCAGCGAGCGCGAACAAATGACGTCACGTGTGCAGAGCATGCGTTGAATTTGTTTTCATTCGCTTGAAGTTGTTAGCTAGTTAGGATAGCTCACAAAATGAACAATTGGTTGAAATATTGATGTTCATTATTCATACATTTATCAGAACCACGTTGGGTCAGGCAAGGCGGGTACCTGGTTGAAACAAAGTTCAACAAGGGGTACAGTAGCCCAAAAAAAAGGTTGGCGAACCACTGACCTAGTTACTATATATTACTTTTACTTGACTAATATGTTTAGTGTTCATTAGAAAATACACACTCTCATGGCTGGCTTTCCTGACCTCTCGCCCTGGCTCCCGATTCGTGCGACTCAGACCAAGTGTTCCCAGTACTGGCCAGACAAGGGCTGTTGGACGTACGGCTCCGTGCGGGTCTCCGTGGAGGACATCACCGTCCTTGTGGACTACACCATCCGCAAGTTCTGCGTACAGCTGGTGAGGCCAACAACCGTGTCGGTAAAAGGTGGAGCCCTGTAATCACACAGCAGGTCGTGGGTTTGATGCCGACCCATCATTTTTCATTGCTGAAGGGGGTTGCCCCCCCTACCTGAAAATCCTGGCTCCGCCATTGCTATGAGGCCGTGGGTTCGATCCCCAACCCTGACGCCTCGACATTTGAAGTTTGCATGTCTCTCCCCATGGTCGCGTGGATTTTTCTCCAAATTTATAAACACGCGTCTAGAGTATTTGGCTGCTATAAATTTCCACAAGAGCCACTTCGTTGAGCTATCATGAGTAGTCAGACCTATATTGCTTAGTGGGCCTTACCTGGTCAAATGCAAATGTTTTTTTTTTAGCTTAGATGCTAAGAATTAAATCGGTAAATCACACTGTAGGATCTATCATCATGTTAGTGGTTGCATTTCAACCACTTAAACAATAATTCTATATATTATATTCTTTGGGTCTTTCAGCAATTGTCTTCACCTGAAGACGATTGCTTGTATTGCAATTCAAATGTCGTGATTTAGATTTTTGTAATTTTTTCCATCTACGTGGCTTTACCGAAAGACCCAAAGAATATGCATTCTTGCAGTCACGAAAGCTTTAAGTCAATTATATATATTGTTGGAAGTCCTCAAAATCCGAGGCTCCAGCCCCCTAAATTCCCGCTACGCTAATTCGGCGCTGCCCGCAGGTCGGGGAGGGGCCGGGTAAACACCAAGCGCGCCTGGTCACCCAGTTCCACTTCACCAGCTGGCCGGACTTCGGGGTGCCCTTCACGCCTATCGGCATGCTCAAGTTCCTGAAGAAGGTCAAGACCTCCAACCCCTCCTACTCGGGACCCATTGTAGTACACTGCAGGTGAGACCCCCCCCCCCACACCATTTTAACGTCTCAAATCTATCCAAAAACAATTTCTGTATCCGTTCCAAGTAAATTATTTTCTCCGATACAATATATTTTACTTACTGCAATTATTTAGGAGCTTGCCTTGTAGTGTGACCTTACTTGAAGGGGGGGGGGGTGGGAGGATGGTGGTCACCCATCCTAGTGTTCGCCAGGCTCAGTCCTGCATTGCTCTTCATACTTGACGAGATGGGGCACGTTCGGGGTGATGAGGTCGTAGGCGACCCTAATGTAGGTAACGTACGATTTATCCAAAAAAAAACGCGGAAAATGCAAATCGTATGTAAATTAGGAGGATGAAAATTCAAATGAGAGTTTCCTGTGCTTTACAAGATGAACTTTTGCCCGAGGGAAAAGGCTGCAGTCATTTCCACACTGCAAGAAGGACAGAGGGTGAACTCCAGGGCAGGGCATTTGGGCATCCAATCTTTCAGAGGCTGCGTCAATTAAAATCTTTGTATCGCAGGAATACGAGTTTCAATATCGTTCAAAATGTCCACGCGGAACTGGCTGATGAGGATAATTTATTTAGCACTTAAAAATAATCAATACCATCTTAAGAAAACAAAAGTGCCCATTTGCACAACTCTGGTCGCTCCAGGCACATGATCCTTAATGCTTGTAAAGCTTTGTAAAACCACCATTACTCACTCATGTATATGCTATATAGCTCTGTTATTCAATTTGCTTATTCGCATTGACTTCACAATACTTAAGTTCGTTCGCCTCTGGGGCTCCCATTCCATAGATTAAGGTATTTGTCTCAGGGAACTTGGATGCTTACGAACAGCACCTGACAAGAGATAATTGCAGATGTAATCGAGAAGAGGTTGTGCTCAGTGGGTGCACATGTGCAGGATGGAGGCGGGATAGGGTCAGCAAATGTGGGTGTCCTTAATAACATGTGGCAGGCAGGAAAGTGGTGTAAATACAATCGTCAGTTCATTGTAAGAGGTGCGGCATGAGTGTAGGGGAGGGGGGGGTGACTAAGCCAGGAAGTGTAGTGGCATCCAGAGGGTCAGCAGGTAAGGGGGAAAACCTAAAGCCAGATGGTTGGATACTTAATCCGGACGGTTAGAGCCGACCTTGGAGGTCACATATCAACTTTGCAACAGCTGCAGGACATCGCAGAAGGAAGCGGTGGCAACACTTGAATCGACAGCATTGGCTGCGGCGACCTCTCGTTGACCTGTTGCAGGCCGGCCGCACTGGCCGAGAAACCGATGGGCACCACATCATGCTGCGATGTTTATGAATGCTTCCAGTGGTAACGTGGGCACCGCCGTCGGCCAAAAGCATTTTCTGCACTGCCGAGAGCCATCTGTGGTATCGGTGGAATAGCGCGGTTCACCTTGGCTGTTGTTCAAGGAGTAAAACGGGGAACCCCTTTCCAATTCTGCTCGTGCGTCCGTGCGTGCAGCGCGGGAGTCGGCCGGACGGGAACGTTCATCGTCATCGACGCGATGCTTGACATGATCCAGGCGGAGCAGCGTGTGGACGTCTTCGGGTTCGTGTCACGCATCCGCGCCCAGCGCTGCCAGATGGTGCAGACCGACGTGAGTGACGGCGTGTCACGATTACACGGGCGTGCGGGCACACACGCGGACGCGAAGCTGCCGCGGTTCTCGGCATGGTGATGCAGCGCATAGATAATAATCACAGGGCAGAAACGACGCTTCGATTCAGGAGTTGAAATCGGTTGAGTCTGAAAACTCACGAGACACGCATTAACCCACGCGCGTATAAATCGAGGTGTTGAATTGAGCGTTGTATGCAATGGGTTTATTTCACCGCTGCAGCCACTCGAGGTGTATGCATGTGTAACTTTTGCAGCACTGTACGTAGCCGAGTGTGCCAACAAAAGAGGTATGGGGGAAGAGCGAACAAATAAATACACAAAGTAGTGCAATGATTCACTGCCGTGTTGTGAATCATGGAATTGCTTGGAAGAGGGTATTTTGTTCTGCCCCTAAAGAATTGGCTTGGCGTGCGTCAAATACAACCGCAATACGCATCATGGTGCCTACTTCCATGATTTCACGTCCCTCTCTTGACCGTGCTCAATTCTACAATTTGAATCGAGGATGCATTTTGTAACCATCCAGAACTTCCCCCATGTCAGTCTCCAATAACCTTTCTTGTGCCTGTGTTTCTGAACATATTGTTCGTCCGCAGTATAGCAAGAGGGCTAAAGTTAGTCATAACATCAGGCTTCAAGACAGGTTCAAGAATGTATCACGCTTGGGGGGCATGGAATCGTTTTCTAAGCTGCTACTTGGACAGCGATTTTGAGCAATTGGCGTCCAGTAATCTAGAGGTATCGCGCACAGTGCGTTTACATTTAAAAAAGGATTAGAGGCATTTTTTCTGATAGAATATCTGCAGGCAATAAGTAGCACGCACATATATATTTTTAAACGTATCGCAATACTCGGCAAGTTTTCTCAAGGCATCTCACAATAACCGTGTCTTGTAAACGGTCATCGAAAAAGATGCCACATTTTCCCTTCTCATCTTGATTTCGTTTTCACATGATGTCGGCTCTCATGTTCATAAGATATCTGTTCTCCATGCACCGTTTTTAATCGGACATCTTTCAAATAATCAAAGCACTGCAATTAAAGCCAAAAAACGCACAATTTTAAAAGCAACAAAATTACGCTTGGGATAATTTAAATTAAAAAAAATTGCCACCAGTGAAATGTTCACTTCAAAGGCAAGCGGCAGATGAATTTGTAATTTATTAAGGGAGTGCTTCTGCATGCATTGATGGCAGTCCATTAGCAGCTAATAGTTATATATACGGTGGTCAGGCCTCAAGATCAGCTCATGAATTCATCACTCTTGTGGGTAAAGAACCTTTTATCAGCTGCAATTTGGCCAGAATGCTGTCCAGCATTTTCCATCTAATTATCCACAACTATCGCACATATTTCATTTAAGCTTAACCAACGATAAATAAACACCCGGGCAAATGTGGCATTCTTGTCTAATGGAGCTTCCGCAGAAAATACCAAGCGCATAAACGTTCTTAAAAATGTATGTCAGTGCTTGGCAAGTTGTACATAGAAGATTTAAATGACACACGTTCATGCCAAAGGTTAATTTCGTGATTTAAATTTAACACAGTGCTGCTACTTTTAGACAAAAAATATAATATTTAGCAAGGATAGTTAAATAAACACTCGTATGTACACAGCCATAAGCACATGAACAGGGTATTTTAACCAATTTACATTTACCAGCATGGTCAAGTATCAATTGATGAAGGGGTGTACATTTTTATGATGTTCATAAAATGTTTTTATTATTATTATCATATAAATGTGGAATTTCCAACACTGGCTCAGAGTTATCAATTCTCGATGAGCATCGCCTCAATGCTCACCTGAGCAGGAGATCACTTTGACTGTTAACCACAAGGAAATGTCGAGGCAAGGGGGGCTAAAGGGGGAGGGGGGGGGGGGGCTGCTGCTGCATAACTCGAGGACGTGAGTACTAAACCTGCAGCGCTGTCCACACACCGGGTCACCCCTTGCCCCCCACAGATCCAGTACGTGTTCATCTACCAAGCACTGCTCGAGTTCCAGCTGTACGGAGACACGGAGCTGGAGGTCACTTCTCTGGAGTCGCACCTGCAGAGGCTGTCGCTCCGCTCGCCCGACACGGGGCTCATCGGCCTGGAGGAGGAGTTCAGGGTGAGAGGCAGGCGAGGCGGTGACGTGAATGGATCATTCAGCGGGCCTTGGTAGTACTCCTGTGGTATTAATCGTGCCACTGAGGTGGCCGGGTGGATGAGAGGTTAGGGCATTGAGCCATCATCAGCACTTGTGTCCTGGGGGGTTCGAATCCTAAGTTTCAGCCACCTGTGACCAAAACCTGGGTTCTCACGCGTAGTGAGTTGATGGCCTCAGGCTGGTCACTAATAAGGGCACAATATTACCAGTCACCCACGTGGGATGAGCATTATCCTCAGTGACACAGCGGCTGGAGAAGGCTCCCACCTATGTGCAACAAAGGTCACTCACTTGAAGGAGTCTCCAATGTAGCTCTGTGATATTCGCTTACATTGGCTGTTCTCCTACGTGAAGGGTTACAATGCTCTGCAAGTGTTCCGACCGATGCAAATAGCACAATTGTGGCAGAAGTGGGGGTGAAATAAAAATCTATATACGTGAATAACCCCTGCCATCTTTTAATCACTCGTTGCCAACCGAGTGACTCGTGTTTGTAAACATTTCCTATTATGTTCATGGTTTATAACATGGCCACCTTAAGGCTAGACCCGGTGGGAGGGTAACCACCCCCCCCTCGCCTATTTCTATTTTGCTCTAACATGCGGCGGCTTGCACGACATGCCACACCATCTGCCATCGCCGACTGTCCACTGTCACGCATTTTACATGGAGGTCTCGCGACCTGACAGTCTGCTGCTGTTGTTGTTGGGCCTCTCAAGAGCCGCTCGCTGGCCTTGCGAACAATCGCTACCGAGCTCTGCTTCCGGTCATACTTCCTGCCCGTCATGGCCACTGCTTTTCCTGTGGCTAGCATGAGAGAAGCTGGGCTCTGGACCCCCACACTCTCAGTACCAAGGAACTTACGTAAAAATATACTGCAATGGCAATCGCAGTTCTAATTTATATGGTGGGGAAATTCCATGAACGTGCTCACGTCAGTTATGGTAAAAAAAAAAAACGAATCAAAAGGATTCGTTGGCTTGCAGAGCGTGACCGCTTTTACGTTTGCAGCATCAGTATCTACTCCATAGTCATTTTGAATTTCGCTAAATTATTATGGACTTGCTTGCACCATATGAATGGTGTAGCATATTAAAGGAGTTGCCCTTCTACGAAATAAAAAAAACATCACTATGCTTTACAGCAGAGGTGAAAAGATGTGGAGTAGCAAAAGTGTGGAAATGAAACATATACAGCATGTAAGAAAATTTAAAAATAAACTGTCCTTTTTTAACACGTTAAATTACAGCAACATTTCAATGCAGGAGCCGATGAGCCTTCGAGATTCATGTTTTACAGCAGCGTCTGTCCAAGCAGGCAAAGTCTAAATCATTGTCATAACCGTCACACACAAAGGCACTCCTCAAACCGGTTATGGAAATTAAACATGGGGGAAACGGTTGTGTAGCAGTTGGTGCATTATGCTGCGAGCCCAGCGACTCTGAGTTGAGTTCCCAGCAACAATATCTGATGCAGCCCGAGAAAATCACGCCCAATTCACCCACCCACGTTGTGACTAGTGTGGCGAAGTTTGGTCATGCAAAACCCCTATGACTCACATGGAGATGTGAGGCATTCAACCAGCCAGCAGTGGATGGTTATTTTTCAACTTCTAGCACCAATTCGATTTGGTACATCACTATAGAATGTTGCTGCTAGAATCACGTCATATGTTAGTTGTTGGTGACCTTTGCCATTGCTGTAGTTGTAATCCACTGGTGCTCACGTTATTCACGTGCCATGGGGATGTTGACAATGAGGCGTCTGACACTTGAATTCTGCCTCAACAGAAGCTGACCTCTGTGAAGATACAGAACGACAGGATGCGAGCTGGTAACCTCCCTGCCAACATGAAGAAGAACCGAGTCCTGCAGATCATTCCGTGTAAAGCAATGACGCACCGTTCGCTCACGCATTCATTTGGAGGGTTGCTCAATAGCAAGCGGCTCGCAGTGGGATGTTTGTGAGCTCAAAACCTCGTTGTGGGAGTTCAATTCCTGGTTGAGGGGTTGACATAAAATGACATCGCGACGCAGTTTATGCGAGAGCCCCCGGGGGGCTTATGGGACCCCGGGGTCCCGCCAGGACTCTAAACAGGAGATGAGCACCACCTCAGCGTACATTTGAGCAGGAGATCACTTTGACCTTCTGACGCTGCATTATTTCTACTACCAGTCGTTAAAATGTTACACTTCACGTGAAAGGTTGTTCAGGCACTACCAAAGAAAACATTCCCCTTACCAATTCGTCACGGTGCTCAAGTTTCCAAACTTATAAAAAAAATTGCGGAAAAATATGTTGCGTGCTCTTGAGGCGTAATAGGGGCTAATGGGATACAAACAAACAACACACGGAGGAGGGCTTGTTTTACTTTGTTGAAAAAATACATGACCATCAACCTCATGAGGGTTTTGAACGATAAAATCGTTCCATTCTAGATTTGAAGCTTTCGTGACTGCAAGGATCCATGCTCTTTGGTTCCATTCGGTAAAGGTCACGTAGGTAAAAAAGTAAAGTCACCTACGTGACTTTAAGTCACCTACGTGACTTTACCGAATAAAATCGTTCCAGTGGCTTTTGTTTAAGCAATAATGCGCTCCCTGGACAGAAGCTCTGTTAGCTCTGATGTCTGGATATGGAACTGCCTCCCTGAACGAATTGTCGGCAAAATCACCGATTCTGGTCTTCAGACATTTAAATGCCAAGCACCATTGACATCTCTGGAATTCACCACACACCTTGTAGGACTGAGTCTTTTATGCTGCATTGAACCAATGATCATGCCGATTAGGATGTACTAATGTCTGATAGTGGCTGTTGTTCACAATTGCACCCAATAACAAAACAAAAATATGCCCTTAAGAGACACGGTGGAGAAAAGGTTCAGCCCCAGAGTTATTTTCTCAGACTACTGCTGGTGGGAAGGTCTCCTGTTAGAGGGAACTCTTAAGAACCCCCTCTAGAGGGGGGTTTGGCCTACACTTCCATGCTCACCTGAAGTCTTGGGAGATGCAGAAGTATCCACACTTTAACCCCATTACACGCTATCTGCCAATTGACCAACTTTGGCTAACCTATTTATACTGATCTGATAGTAAACAAAAACAAACTCGCATGTTACTTGCAAATGTTGAGATGGAAAATAAAATTTCACATTTGGAAAAGTTGGGCCCCCATGGCACCAGCATAAATTGATCTTCTTGGTGAAAGTCTAGCACCTACATCACAATTGATTGTTTACTTGTACAATGCCACAACATGTTATTGACTTCTCAGTCATGGAACACATCCAACATCGGCTTAAGGAGGCTCGTGTGCTGCATCACACATCACCCAGCCACATGTACACGGTGGTGATTTACCAGCTCAAGACTGTTGCCATTATTTTGTGTGAACACTGCAATTGGTGGGGCGGGTGGGGGCGGGAGCGGTGGGCACAGCGGTTTACACGCTGCACCATGAAACTCGCAAACGCAGATCGACAACCTGCCACGACTAGCGCCAGGGTCGAAGTGGTGCAATACCCGAGCCGGTCTTTGGCCTCCCCTCCATTCGTCAACCCACAGGGGCAGCTGCAAGGGCTCTGTTACCTTGTGGACAGCGAGGGGCAGTGGGGGCGAAATCCACGGTTGTCATTGTGCTCCCGTGTCTACGCTCACCACCTTCACCGACCTGCACTGACCCGTCTGGTGAAATATGATCAAAACTAACCCCGTGACTGACACAGTGAGTGGGGGGGGGGGGGGTGCCTTTAAAGGCAGAGGATTGACAGAGGGCTGTTTGATGTTTATAATCGCAGGACTGCAATAGGAAGAAGCACGAAAAGATATCTCGCCATGCCAATTCTGAGCCCACTGACATTCGCGGGATTGCTGCTGCACTCGGCAACTTGTGATGCAGTGCTACGCAAGAAAAACAATCAAGTGATGTTTATGTTAAAAGGGCAGCGTTCAGTTGCAACATCAGAACGTGTTTCCAGGTTAAAGGCAGTACCGATTGTTGATTTAAGTTTTGCCTCCACAGATGATTTTAATCGTGTGATCATCCCCATGAAGAGAGGGGAGGAAAACACGGACTACATCAACGCATCCTTTATAGATGTGAGTGCCCTGCTCCACACAATAAATCAATGGTTATTCTCGGGCAGATGTAAGTGTACTGCCGCACAACGTATGAGAAGAGTTGTCTGAGACCGATTACGCATCTCGAAATGAGCAAACTTATAATAAGATATTGACAACGACTAAAAGACGACGAGAGGGGGAAACAGACAGGGAAATGTCGTGACCTGCAAGTGTGGTGGACAAACAGTTTTAATGGGACAATACAGTCAACATTATACATGGGCTTTCACGACCCATAATGATTTGTCATTTGTTTATTTTTGCTTGGAGCAACCTTGTAGGTATAACGTCAATTGTTTAACTGTAACCCCATGACGGCGACAGAGCCAATCCAATAAAGTTGTCACGAGGGCAAATGTGTCAATTGATTTGGCATTCCAGCAAACTGCAACGTTGAAAATCGAGGGGAATGTTTTTGACAACTGTCAAAATTTCCCACTTGACAACTTGATTTGATTGGCTGTCGGGATTATAGTTAAACACTTTATCATGCCTACACGATCTCCCCGAAAATAAACTAATTATGAATCACACCGCAGTCAGCCTGGTATACCGAGTATTCAACACGAGTGGAGGAATCGATGAGCACGCTTCATGCGAACAGTAACCACGGTAGTTGCGATAGAAGAATTATAACAATGTGTGTTGACTGACCACCAGTGAGCAAATAACTGTTATGAACCGGTGAGTAGTGCTGGATCATTAATAGATCCGATGTACGTAAAACTTATTTCGCATTGTACGTAACCAACCATGCTAATCAGAGATTCGGAGGAAGGACAAACTAAACGCAAAAAAGCAGTTATAAAAAAATGAGTTTTCAGTCTAGATTTAAAAGTGCCTAGCTCCAGTGACTTTATAATATCGGAAGGAAGAGCGTTCCAGACAGCCGCAGAAGCGCATCTGAAAGCATGTGATGCGGTGACCATCTTCGTTCGATGGCGAGCCAAAAGCCACTCTGAGGATGACCAGAGTTTGCGTGATGGTTTATGCTCCGTCACGACATCACCATGGCATTGTGGTTAATTTGCGGCAAGCACTTTGTGTGTGTGTAACGAGTGCGATCTAATAAAGTATTCGTTCGGCAACCGGAAGCCAATGCAGCTTGGCGAGCACTGAACGGACGTGGTCAGATCTTGCAGTACCCGTCACGAGACGTGCCGGAGAACATGTTGGATTCTATATAGCCGGTGTTACCGTATTGTTGCTGTTGTGTGGTGTCGGCATGCAGGGATACCGCCAAAAGGATGCGTACATCGTGACGCAGGGGCCCTTGCCCCACACGGCGGAGGATTTCTGGAGGATGGTGTGGGAGTGGAAGTGCTTCTCCATCGTCATGCTGACTGAGCTGCAGGAGCGTGGGCAGGTGAGGCGGTTTACGTTGAGAAGCCCTTCCTAAAGGCCGCGATGGCAAGCTCGGGCAATATTGGCGCACTCGTTATGAGGCAGTCTGCTTCTGCGTCGACTTTGTGTTATTTACCCGTATTTTGACATTTTGGTGACCCGTATCACTAAAATATGAGACTATCCTGGTCTCCGAGTTAAATATAAATTAACTAAACTAGCGTTGTCAACTCTGAGGTGCGAAACAACTGGACGTATTGTGTAGCTTAATATCTCACAATACCGCAAGATATAAATGCATTGGCTTGAGTGGTATTATTATGCAACTGACAACATTTCATGTGGTGGGGGGGTAAACATTGTGAAGGAAGAAGTGGAAATAGCAGTGGTTGAACACAGAAGAAGAATTAGAGATCCCCAGAGCAAACTCCTCAAAAAACAGGATGCCCCTGCAAAACCAGAACGAGGGGCAATCCTAAGAATGACGACGGAGTTGTGTCTTGTAAATGCAAACGAGTTTTGTCGGAAAGCATGCTGTGGAACAGCGGTTTGTGTACAGACTTCACTCTTGGCGAGTCATCGATGTGTGAGCAATAGAAGTGGCAGCTACCATCCCAGTCTCCCATTAGGGGCAGCAACTGTCAGTTTGGTCCAGATTTGGGCAACCACTTTTTTTTGTTTAATAATAAAAATGGTGCAGTAGGCAACTGTTGCCAGTTACAATTTCCAGCAACAATCGCCATAAAAATGCTCCCCTTTCAACTGTGTCCGAGGGCTTGTCCAAATTATATCCTTGCACCGGCAAATCCACCCGAATGTGTGCAAAAGCAACATATTGCTTGCAATTTAAATGTAGTTTATCCAAATAGAGGATGCAGTAATGCATGGAACAATGGGGAAGCACAATAAACTATTGCTTTTGGGAAATATATTTTTATTATAATTATGTCCAGCCAAATGTCCATGTCAGTCGTAAAACAAAGTAACATTCCCACAATGCAAGTTACTGTGTATAATTTACTTTTATGCAAGTATGTTGAACTTCTTTCGCACCTTACGTAGCCAACCGTGCTAATCCGAGGTGGATACATAGCCAACCGTGCTACTTGAGGGCTAGTGGACCATACTTCGCCAAGCTCGTCAGTGTGGGTTGACGGCGGGGGGAGCACGGATTGGTGGCAGAAGAGGGAAATCACAAATACACTCAGAAAGCGGTTCACAGTTCTCACGTTATGGTTGAGTAGAGTGCTGGCAAGTTGTGTGAAAGCGAAGCTCCGTTTTCCACCCCCCCCCCCCCCCTCTGCCGGGTTCTACAATTAGGCCCACTGTGCTCAAGCCACACAATTCTAAAGCGTATTGGAAAGAGGGGGGCTCATGTGTCTGGACTTAAAACAGATGCGCCAGACATATCCTTAATGTAGCGCTCGAGAAAAAACTTGTTCACACAATCAGCCGCCAACTTTAAATGCCTTTGCACTCTTGTATTTTTTCCCCCGCTGCTTGCAGGAGAAGTGCTTTCAGTACTGGCCTTCCAACGATTCGATCACCTTTGGTGACATCTCCATTGAAATCAAGTCAGAGAAGCTCATTGGCTCATACACAGCCCGAGAATTTGTCATTTCCAGTGGCAAGGTGAGTGACTCGTTAAAAGATTCCCAAGTCCCTTTATTTGTTTAAATTGATTCCCTTTTCAGATTGTTGTGTGAAATTATTGGAACACAGCGTGACACCCAGTGCATTGCCTTTCAGACTCCAGACGTGATAATACAAACAGTTGAATTATACATAGCTGTTTAAAACTCAGGCCGAGTGGATTTACAAATATCAAAATCCATCACACAATAATAATAATGCCCTTTATCCAGCAAAGCCTCGCCGAGTCTCAAAACATTTTCAGCCGGATCCTGCATTGGAATATTTGGCCCATTGCATGGGATCGTTTGGCTTCTTGAAGAAGGAAGCCAGAATAGCCATAAAAAAAACTCCCGCACACTCAAAACTCCACACGGATGGATTCCCAAAATAGATGCTGTGGATTCAAGAATATACATTGCAATTACATGTCGTTTTTTTTTTTTGCTTTGCCGTTCCATTTCGTTGACAAGGATAACAAGAGCCGGCAGATTCGGCAGTTCCACTTTCAAGGGTGGCCAGAGGTGGGCATCCCAGATGATGGCAAGGGCATGATCAGCCTCATCGCCGACGTGCAGAGGCAGCAGCAGCAATCGGGAAACCAGCCCATCGTCATCCACTGCAGGTGAGCACCACCCCCTGCCTCACCCCCACCCCCTTCAACACGTGCATGTTGACGGATCCCTCTGAACTCACATTTTGTCGTCTCTTTCGCGCTCCCGTCGTTTCGTTTGTATCGTTTGCCGACCTGTCCATAGTGGACATCGGTGGGAAAAAAAAGAGGTTCATTCCTCCTCCAGTCTAATTAAAGATTTTGATTCCGATTCTAAACTCCTCGTTAGTGGCCTGGAAACGTTGCTCTGGACAATTTAATAGCCCGGCAAGAGATGAAAAGTCTTGAGCAACCCTGTGGAATCTCACACCGTATCCCCCGTGTCTGTCTGCTTGCCTGCTGCCCCCCTCCCATCATGCCCCCCCCCGTGTGATGAACGCAGCGCCGGCGCGGGCAGGACGGGCACGTTCTGCGCGCTCAGCACGGTGCTGGAGCGCGTCAAAGCCGAGGGGATCCTCGATGTCTTCCAGACCATCAAGAGCCTGCGCATGCAGCGGCCGCACATGGTGCAGACCCTGGTAAACGGCGCTTTCATCTCAGATCCCACGCTCGGTGTGAACGGCTGCGAAGAGCCCTCGGAGTTGCGAGCGAACGCGCCTTGTCGTCGCCGTTGTTGTGTCCCCCCTGGGTATTGACCGCGTTTGCTCGGGCCACGCAACGCTCGAATCGGCCGCCGGAAAGCTCTGAGATCGTGAATCGATCGTCGTCCTCATCATCGTCGTCGTTTCAACCTCATCATCATCATCTCGCCCTTAACCGAAATGGTTTGTGTGGGGTGGGGGACATCGCTGATCTCTCCAAATTGTGCCCGTTCCGAGCCGTGTTTGGTCGGGTGTTGTGCCGGATTCTCAGTCCACGTTAGCCTTGGGCCACTTATTTCTTTCTGCTAACCACTGCGCCACCGCTCCACCGAGGTTACTGTAAACTGCATTTGCATTGTCCGAATAGTGCATCCAATCGCATCCTACAAAACGACTTTGGTGGCTTGGCTACAAAGCCTCACTCTCGCATTGCTTTTGCCTGTTCATATTTCCCGAGTTCATTTCCTTTGGCTGTAATAAGCACATGCTCTTTATTCAACTTGGGAGGCTGAGGCTGAGGCCGAGCAATGCTTTTGTTGTGCCATTGTTCAATGGCCTTGGCCAATACCTCTGTGCTTGTCAGTCACAAACTGCATTGAAACTCTGGCACCTGTACTTGGTCTGCTAAAAAGAGCATCAAACAAGAGTGAGATTACCCTCTCCGATGTGTTTTCGGGTCATACCGCATGTTGTTGGCCACGATGTCCGACGTTTCGCTACGTGTGCTTCTTCAAGACGTGCCCATCGGATCACTTTCTGCCTCGGCCCGTCCTGGCTACACCCACTTCCTTTTCGAGAATTATACGTGGTTGAGTGAGAGGGTGGGGCTGCTGCCAGTTGAGCGAAACGTCGGACATCGTGATGAACTACACGCGGTACAGCCCGAAAACACATCAGAGTGCTGTATGGCACAACTCCAACACCGTAACAGGAAGCGTGAGATTTCCCGTTGGTCCACTGGAGGGCGTATTCAAAGCTGGGGGAGTGCGCAGATAAGCTTCATATACATTGTGTTTCAGTTTATCCTGCACGTATAAACCACGAGTGATTTAAATGCAGCGGCATTCAACGCAGTAATGTTATTCAAGCTATTATTGTAATCGTCATCAGCCACTGCTGATTGAAGGCCTCCGCAAGCTGTTGTCACCTGTCTCGCTGCTGCACGCGAGCAGATTTCGTTGCTCCATCTCCACGGCGTCACGTTCCCTTCCTTCGGCTGCCGCTCCATCAGTGGTCCAGACCACTGGCGTGCACTGCCTAAACCAACTGAACTTTCCTTGAGAGTCTCCATGATGTCCAGAGTTTGAGCATGTTCTATGACCCACGTGTTCCTTGTTGTCGCCTCAGCGTAATTCCAAGCGTACACATCTCCAAGCGTCTTTGTGCACTAATCAGCGTTTGTTGAATTTTCTTTGCCAATGTCCATGGTTCTGATCCATGTGTTATAGCGGTTAACTCGTTGATTTGAAATGTTGTTCTTTAGGGACATTGGCATATTGCTTTTCGTAATTAAGTTACGTTGTTTCCACTAAAGTATATAATTATTTTCAAGGTACTTGTTATAGAATTCATTGTGTTCATTTTTATAATTACACAATTCAAGACCTAATAAATATTGAATGTCTTCAGACCATTTTAATGTGATGATTGTGATTTCATATATTTGGCAATTATCTGAAACCTGAAATTAATTTAATTTAAAATACTAAAAATAATCAAGATAATGTATATACTGTATATAATTATAAATAAGTATTAATCAATTGGACTGATAATTGCCAACTAAACCATAGTGCAGCCATCCTCTTACATGGACGACTCCTTTATATTGTCAATTCATCTCAAGCTATTCAATAAAAAATCATAGCTTTTGTGGTAACCCAGATTCAGCTGAATTTTGTGACCCAATGTATCACGGTTTGATTCTGGCTCTGCATGGCAAATAGCCAACGGAAAACCACTTGGAGGTGCCAGTGGTAAAACGGGGCATATAATGCGACAGAAGGGGCAGTCAATAGTAGGTTGGGGAGAAAATATTTATTCGTGTGTAGCATTTGTGTGCGGTGTTGCTCACGTTCCTGGGTGGCAAACGCTTTATATATTTATTTTTTTCCATTCTCCCGTGCGCAGGAGCAGTACGAGTTTTGTTACAAAGTGGTACAGGAGTACATCGATACCTTCTCGGACTACGCCAACTTCAAGTGAAACGACCGTGCGGAGGCCTGCCGACCGAGGGCAGCTGCGAATCACAGGGAGGAAGCGTCTACGAGCACCCAGAGCAGCCAATGCCGCGCATTTCCACATCTGCGATTCCACGTGTGCACGACATTTAGTAGAACAAGGGGCAGCCGGCTACACAGGCTAAGGACGTTTCTCCTGCTGCCCTTAGAATTTTTAGATAGTTTCTCTTTAGGAATTTCCACTAAGAACATATTAGATCCATTTGAACGATAATGATAAAGACAACATTTGCAGCCATTTGTCAACTCACTGCTGGATGAAGGGCTTCTCATGCCGTGTCGGCTGTGGGGGTTATTTAGCCATACTTCACCACGCTGCCAAGTGCAGGTTGGTGAAGGGGATGCCCAAGTTTGGTTTGGACATCACCCGCCACCGATGTTCCCCTTGGCTGGAATGTGTTGGGTTGCTGGGCTCATGGCGCAGTGCGCTAACCAGTGCCACCAAAGCCATGCAGGTCGACTAAATACATCTTAGTTTAGCTACGATGTATTACTTTGACAACGAAAGCTCATCGTGACCCACAGCCTCTTAAACGCAGGTCACACAGGTATTTTTTTTATTAGAATTGTTAAAAGGTATTAATGCGCTGCACTTTGAATTTTATCGCTTGCAAGTGCAGTAAAAAAAACACATTTTGTGAAGCACTTTATACGGATAATTTGTAAATGGGTGTTACGAGCCATTAGTAATGCACATTAAAAGCAATTAGAGGCAGCGATTTGATTTCAAAACACACTTCGGTAGCTACAGTTTGGTGGCACAATTATCGCAGTAGGCTTTGTGGTTAGGGAGCTTATCAATGCACACAACATACATGCATCTTGTAAACAAGCAGACTGTGGGCCCCAAGCAGACATTACGTTTGGGTGTGCAGTCATGTGTGACGACAAGCATTATGTGATGGACAAGCAACGGAATCTAAATATCACGATTGTGTGAACTAATGAGCATAGACTAATTACAATTAAAATTAGTTTAACAATCAGAATAAGATTTATATATATGTAGATCCGAATTCAAGCCGCTTGGGGCACTAAGCTTTCACTTGGGAAGCTTATGCATAACACCACCACCAGTCGTAGTTTATTGACCACTGTTCCATAATTCGGTGTACAAAGGCATTTCATTGGTCTTCACCTGGCATAAAACAATGTGGAAAAGCAGCACTGGGTCGTTCTGTGTGTTCCTCCATCTGGACTTTTAGGCCCCCCAGGGCGATGGCATCCAGCGGTTCGCAACATCGCGAGCACTGTGCGCTGCAAACACCGGCTCCGTCGTGTAAATACAATGTATCGCAAGTCGCATTATTTTGTACCTGTGTTGGAAGCTTTGTTTTATTTTTTTTAAGGGGGGGAGGGGGGGGGGATTTTGCCGAAAGTGTACCGTGCAATTGCGTTATTTTTTAAATGTGGACACCGTGGAGTGCACAGTATTTAATTGTTAATTAAAATAAATTCCGCAAGTTTGTATATTTTTTATGAAATATTATATATACAGTATATCATTACGAGACAATCTTTGCGTCAAGTTTGCCTGTTTAAGTTATTGTGATGTATATCTTTGGGCTGCCTTACCATGCAAACCCTTTTCCCCCCTCACCCTGTGCAAATGCATTGAACAAAATATCAACCGTTTTTGTATATATTGCCAAGAACCCAACACGATTAACTCACTCGTGCCACGCTCTATTTTTAAAAGGAGGTACTTTATGCTATATAATAAAATCACACTTTTTATTAGATTGTATTTATTGTTATTTAAATTAAAATGCTGGCCAAAAAAACCCTAAATAGTCTGTGCTAAAAAAGTTATTGCTTTTGTGCTAAAATCAGCAATGAGGCTGTGCTCATCTCCTGATTACAGCCCTGAGCTTGTGGTGGAAATTCCACATTCCTTACGGTGAGGGTCAGTCTATCCACTTGGAACAACCACTTGATTTCCACATTTTGTGGTGTTCATTTTATCGACTCCAGAAGGATGATGGGCTGAGTCAAGCACCGACCCGGATTTGAACTTGAAATCTTCGAAATGCGAGCCACTCACTACTGCCGAGCTACCTGGCCGGATTATGATGTGGTATTTGAGTACTATCGATGACAAATTTACAAAGTCAATAACATTCCATGCCGTCATTTTGTATGATAATTCCAGTTGCTTTTTATCTATAGTTTTACAACTTTTAATACCATAAAAATATATACGGTTTTCTTTAGAAACACTTTATGAATGTAGCACAATTGCCCATGCGTTGCCGTAGAATCTTAACTGTGTCAATTGCCCCTTCTTGTATTCCATGAGCTGTGTGTAGAACGTGCGACGGGTAGCTTCAGTGTGCACGGAGGAAAGAACAACGCGCCGCTTTCAAACAAACCGCTTCCTTCTGTAGACATCAAAACTGCGTCGGGAGTCAACCTTGTGGCTTTTAGTCAACTCGGTCACTTCCAGGGTGTGGGTACAAAACCTACACGTTATGTCCTTTATGAATTATTTACATAAACAAGGACGGATTGTGCTATCAAAGAGCCACTAGGTTAAGTAAATAAAGCCTCCTTCCCATATTTGTCTCAATGTAAAAAAAATACATTTTTTTTACACAACCCATGCCTTCATCGCTTTCTCGTGAATATTAGCAGCATTGGTTCAACACAAAACTGGACTGGTTTTGTCATTCAGTGTCTCATCAAAGTCAGACTTTCTTGCTTGAACCAATACTGCTGAACTGCCCGATGTTTACCGTAAAGGAGACAAAAATGGGGCCTAGTTTCATGCAAAACTTAATTATGCATTTCAAAATAACCATGAAATAATAATGAATAACGATTATTAGTTTAATTGTGCATTTCATTAACAGCCATTTCCTGTACATATGCATGTTCAGAATCTGAGGCTAATGCTCATTTGGAGGCATTGCAGAAGCATTGTCCATGGAATAGTTCATAATACCTTTGCACTTACAAAATTACTGCACCCAAGACAGACATTTGAGCATCTTTCCAAAATGTATTTTTTCCCCCCAAGGAATTTCCCTCTGAAGGCTTGTAAAAAAAAGTTGTGGCCGACGCAATGGCCACTTGTTATTATGAGTTTTAATTTATTGATTTGTACGGGTCTTTTTATTCACGTGCCGTGCGGTCCAGCCTTTTGTATTGGGTTTATGATACAGTGTCATATCTTTGATGACTGCAATTTGGTGTTCAATGTTTGCATGTGAATGCTCGTGTCAAATGCGAATATAATTTGTTTCCATCCCTGTACTTTGTGTATTGTAAAACGTTCCAAGTTATTTATTTCGGTATTTAAAAAAAAACCTCCCTCGAATTAAAGTCACAGGTCACATCAACCATCTTTAATTAATGAGTGAATATGCAATTCATTTTGACTAAACTTAAATTACATTGCAAAAGAAATATTCTTTATACGATTAACTTTTTACGTGATGATTGAAATTGGGACATTTTATGAGCGTTTTTGAGACATCATAAAATATATTATATAAAAATTTTTAAATCAAATCTGAACAGCGTACATTGCTCCATGTGACCAGACAGTGGGAAGATGTGTACGTGACATGTAGGCTTTTGGGAGTGCTTCAATGTGCTGAACTGAAATAAGTGAATTTGTATCTATTCTTACATCCCAATGGAAAATGTTGACAGACTAATTTGTAACGACCGACAAATAGTGATATTTTAGGCACAGCTTACGAGACCCTACCTATATTGTCATTGGATTTAAAAAAAAAAAACATTTGGTCAGAAAAAAATAATTGCAACACTTATTTTTATGCCCTTAAATTTGATATTAGAGCAAGATGAGAATAACGTGCTCACATCAGTTGTACAGATTGTCCTTTATGAGATTGGTATTGTAAGCACAAAGATGTCACGCAAGTGGGCATGGAAACTTAAATGAAAAAGTACCAAGCTAGACTCATACTAACTTTGGAAATTGTGAGTGTTACAAAATATTTTTGCGCTTTTTTTTAAGTCATGAATAAAATGTTTAATGAAATATTACAAGGTATTCCTTTATTTGATGAACGCCGTCTGAATGTGTCTTTTTAAACATCTTCCTAATATAATTGATGACAGTATGCTGGTGTAAATATAAGATGAAACATTGGTTGGATTTCCAATGGTACTTGGACTAGGATGTCCCAAGATTCTTTCACGAGGGTCCTGCTATTATCTTTGGACATTTCCTTGATGAGTCCATTGTTTGAATGTGGGAGAAGCCAGAAAAACCCCACGCATATAAGGCACATAACACGATCTAGATTTGATGTTTTCGTGACTGCAGGGATCCATACTCTTTGGTTCTTTCGGTGAAGTCACGTAGGTAGAAAATAAAATAAATTAAATCACGACGTTTCGGGCGCAACACAATAACACGAGTCAACGCGATAACACGAGTCATTTGTAGATGACTCACAAAGGTTTACAATTGGGGTACTTTTACGAAGGCGTAAAACGATAAGCACCGTACAAGATAGGTTCAAGAATACATTCCTGACAACTCAGAGAAAGGCAAAGTGTGAGAGGATACCACTCATTATTTTACATGCATTGCAGCAATCTTATTTCTGTATTGTAAACTACTGTCCACTAATGCTTAACAGCTTGTACAGCAGGCACTCAGGGAGAAACATTATTCTGAAAGGTGAGTGCACATTTTGTGACGGCTATTCGTTCTATTTAACATTGTCAACAGGATTTGAACATAACTCGCATCACGTCATCACCATGGCATGGACCCACCATGGATCAGCTACTGCCTACCTCTCTCATCTCACGACTCCACCATGCACTTTCCCGCCTCTCCCCCTCTCGTCTCGCTCAACTTCCCTCGACGCACTCTCCGCTGGGGCCAACCAATGTCCTCTTGAGATGTAGTTGGAGAGGGAGGAGTTGATGATGACCCCGAGGTTACGAGGATAGGAGATGGAGTGAGGGAGAAGGGAGGGAACGAGATGGTAGGACCGAGTGGAGGAGAGTGGGTTGGAGGGGCAAAAAATATTTCAGTTTTAGAATGATTAATTAAGGATATCAGTTTTATAATGATTAATTAAGGATTTCAGTTTTAGAACGATTAATGGAGAGGTAGTGGCGTGACATCCAGGATTGGACAGTGGTTAAGCAGTCGGGAAATGCGGGAGGAAAGGTCATGGCTAAAGGAGGGAAAGGATAAGAAAATGTGAGTGTCGTCGGCGAAGAAGTAATGGGGAAGTCATTTAAGAAATTACAGTTTCCAGAGGTGAGATACAAAGGGAAAAAATAGCAAGGGCCATAGGACAGCCTCTTGAGGGACAAAACTGTAGAGGGGTGGAAAGGAGCATGGGGTGATCGGCCGTGTCGAAGGCTGAGGAAAGATCCAGGAGAATGAGGATTGAGGAAAGACCAGAATGAGCAGAGTTTGACAAATGGCCCCGTACAATGAGGAGGGGAGTTCCAGTGGAATGGGAGGGGAAAGAGATTGGCTGGTAGTTGGCAGGACTCGAAGGGGATGAAAGCTGCGTTGAGGATGTCAGGAAAAACACCAGAGGTGAGGGAAGAATTGAATAGAGACCAAGGGGGAGGGAAGGATAGGAGTGGAGGTTAAAGGGAGGCAGGGATGGTGTCCAAGGGACAGGAGGTAGGATGGGCTTTGGGTATGATCGCGGAAAGTTGGGATAATGATGTGGGAGATAAATCAGTGAAGAGAGTCCTTACCACGTGGAAGTGGGTGGAAGGAATCGGGGGGGGGGGGGACAAGGAGATGAGGCGGGCAGCGAAAGTTGAGGGAATTGTCTCAATTTTAGTCGTGGAGAAGTAATGCAAGGTGGTGTGGATGGAGTGGTTAGTCATGGTTGAGAAGAAGTTGGCGGGGATTGAGGGACAAGGGAATGAATTGGAGTTAAGAAGTTGTCCCGCTTGGCTACTTCTAAGGAGGCTAATGAAGTGGGTGAGAAGGGAGCGATTGGATGACAGGTTCCGAGGAGATTGGGATGGCTTCCAATAGTTGTCCAGTTTTGCGCAGAGAACGTCAGCTAGATTTGAGAGAGGGCGTTAACCATGTTGGGGATGGGGGGGGAGGTTTCGGTAATTTGGAGCAGAGATGTAATGGGGGGGGGGGGGCTAGATAGTTGAGGGAAGAGGATAGAGAGGGAAGAAGAGGCAGAGTCAGGGTGGAGGGTGAGGAAAAGTCGGTGATTGACGGGAGGAGGGAAGAGATGGGGGAAGCCAGTGAGCGAGTGTCCAGGAAGTGAAGGTTGCCGGCAGACGACGAGGGTGGGCAGGGGAGGGAATGGAGGGAGCAAGGGAAGGTTCAGGGCATGGTGAGGGAAATTAGAGAGTGGTCTGAGGGGTGGAACCGAGTAGAGCTCGGTGTTACATTCCGGTATGAAAGGAAGATTATGGTCCTGGGTACTGCCAGTTGTACGAGTTGTGGGGGTGCGGTGAACGCAGGTGAAGGCCAAAACGAGTTGATTAGGGGGCGAAGGGCAGAGGCAATCGGTGGACTGCTAAGATGGAGGAGGTTGAAATCACCAAGGAGGATAAAGGAATGGGAGGATAGAGTAGAGGAGGCAGTTGAGGTGTTCAATGAAGGAAGAATAGGGGCCTGGGGTATGGTAGATAATGAGACATGGGGGGGGGGGGGGGGGGGGGGAGTAAGGAGGCCAAACGAAGCCAACTTTTCCAACTGGACGGGGAGTGTGGACAACCCGAAGTGTCACGAGGGAACAGGGCAGTCGGGGTGAGATCCGGGTCTCGGCGAGAGCAAGGACATCGAGTTGTCAAGAAAAGAGGCGTCGAGGATGGCTGCATGTTTTATCACAGGCAGCTCGTGCATCGAGGAGGCCAAGTATGGACGATTTGGTCGGTTGGGGAAGACGCGGGATTGGGGAACGGCGCGGGAGAGGTAGGTTTAGGCGAGGCTGTTAGGAGGATAAGGTCGGAAGGAATGGAGTGGCGGTGATTGATTCGTTTGTGATAGAGAAATAGGAAATGCGAGTTTGGGGATAATAGGCACCGCCCTCATCACCTGGCAACAGTGTTGTGTTGATGTCGACACCGCATGGCGGACAATGGCCATTGTTGTACGTTTTTTGAGCCCTTGCCTGTCAGTGTGGGCGTGCACACTGGCACCAGAAGGAGAAACATTGAGGGGTGGGTGAAAAGGTGTCAAAAGATAGTCCAGGTCAGGGGTTGGCAACCTGTCGCTCCAGAGCCGCACGCGGATCTCTCAGGAACTGCTTCGTGACGGCGTCTGTCAAGGGCCGTCTCGTATTCACCACGTGCGGCACTGCGGCTCGTGAAATAGAGGTTTTGTTTGTTTGAACCGAATTCGAAAACGATGGCTCTTCTTGTTATTTTGTTGGCAACCCCAACCCCCGGGGTCTCGGACTGATTGGCTGACGCATTGTACGGGACCACAGCTAGAGCGATACCTTGTACAGAGCACGGAGTGGGGACAGTGCCCTGCTTTGAAAAAGACGAGGGCACCTGCCTAACCTTCAATGTACGCAGTTGCTCCATGGGGGGTACACATCATTGAAAGGCAACGGTGGGCATACGTGAATACCATTTAACAAAAATAATATCAGGTAAGGAGGCAATTGAATAAAGAGTAAGTCGGAGCATTTGTTCTTGTGCACTCCTGGGGTTCCAGTCCATCACGAACGCGGGCTAATCATGCATTGAAGACTCTTGCAGTGGCGAGCAGATGTTGTCTCCCTTACCTGATGCGCAGGAGGTCGTGGGTTCGATGCCGATCCTGACGCGTGTACGTTTGGTCACGTAAATGTTTCTCCAGCTCCTCTGGTCTTTGCCTTCCATATTGAGAAACATGGGTGTAAAATATGTGCCTATTATAAATTCCCACATGTGATGATATAAGCCACTTCGATGAGTTATGTGTGGCCAAATCACCTCTGATAAATCGATAATAGCTCAGTGGGCTTGACGTGGCAAATAAAATAGCATTAGTATTCAAGTCTTTGGGGAAAAAAAAAGAATGCAATAGAGTTGCCCTTCGGTATAGAATCCAAGAGGCTATATTATCATGTATACGTGAAAATATGTATCCAAGGGAGGCAAAATAAATCAAGGTTTTTGTTGTTGTTGTTTTAACGTCATCCTGTTTGACACGGGTAGGAGACAATACCTAATGCAATGGCGTGCTGCTGCATTCTTGTTGCTTTTATTAACTACGCAATTCTTGGAAATGTCAAACCCATTAACAGTCACAATTTATGCTCTGCGCAATAAGACAGTTAAGTAATTGCAGAAAGCGAATCAACACCGTGCATTAATACATTAATGAAATTGGAAAACATTATCCATCTGAAACTTCTTAAGTAAGCTTTGCCGTGTTGGTAATTTGAAAACACAAGAGTCCTAATAGAATATTTAAAATGGTAATCGTTCTAACGGAGATTGCGAATTCAGAAATAATGTATTTATCTAATGTGATAGCTTGCTTGTGTTAATTTAGGAATATAATGAGCAATTAGTTCATATGATTATCTTACCAATGACTTGGTTTATTGACCAAGTGTGGACGCATTGCATTCTTTCATTAGAGACTTTAGTATTAATAGTATTCGCAGTTGTAGTAGTTGAGTTTTTAAATGTAATGGGTCAGGTGATTCAAGATTGTTTGCAGTCTGGATGAGGCAGATGAGAATGAGTCTGTGTAAAAAGAGAATAACAGACGTTAATAAGGAGAAAGCTAGTTCCAATTGTAATTTCTTTCCTCTCTGGAAATTCGGAATTGTTTGTTTAATCATGTAGACCTATGAGGGTTAATCAAGAGTATACTAGTGGTCGTGTCAATTTTCCTCTCGGAATTAAATTGTCAATCACTAACTGGGCCCCGAGAGAATTTAGATGATTAAGTGTCACTTTTGGGGAGCACTATATAATGGCAGTCGGCAAACGTCCGTTCAATAAACTCACGGGCAACGGGAAAGTCACCTGCTCCATCCCTGCTGTCGAGAGGTTTGTACGGAACGTCACAACTTTTCGCAGCCGTTCGTAGTTTTTTTCCGTATTCTCAGTCACCGATTAAGTGCGGTCTTATTATTCGTGCGTGATTCTGCCGAAGCAGACGTCGAACGTCACTCCTTGCAATGAATATTCAACTTGCGGCTGGTGATGTGGCATGCGTGTGTATGTTTGCGTGTGTGACGTTATGCCTGCGTGTCTATAACGTATGCAATCTATTTGCATGGTACCATAACGACCAAAGTGACCTAATGTCGATATTGCACCGCCTACAGCATTGGAACTTGGTGGTGCCGGAATAGGGCTCGGGCTACCCAAAGTTCAACTCGGCCGAAACTGAGAAATGGGCAGATTTTGCGATGTCTAAAAGTCAGCACTGGCGAGACAAAGGCGGTCGGGCGCCGCGGTGTTCCAGCCACACAACGCCTCGTGTGCGGTGCCATGGTACTTGTCTTGACAACCTGAAAGCTGAACGTAGGGAAGTCGATATTTCTTTTTTCGATGCCATGTACTCAACAGTCATCTGTCACCGTTCCTATAAACGCTCGTGGGGGACTCTTGTCGTTGAATGGGCGTTATTGATGGCGCGGCTTCTTATGGATTTACTTCGGATGCATTGCGCGCTAATTCGCTGTGTACCGTGCAATGTAGACGTGCAAAACATGAGCACCCGTCGAGGGCAAGCGCCCTATTGGGCAATTGTGGAGCTTCGCGATGCACGCGTGGCACTGCCTTTGGATTGTGTTGACGTGCATGCGCGAGCTTGCAGTTCTAGCCAACGGACTTGGCCCCATTCGCATGAAAAAAATAAAAACAGTTTTTTTTACCCATTCTGGCCATGAAACAGTTGCGTTAAGATGTTCAAACACCAAATAAGAACATTTTGCAAGGAATCATGTCTGCATTAACCACACACGGTACTTGCGGTGAACATGTAAACACGTAACGCTCTAATAATATTTGGGCATTGTCTTTGAAACTGATTGGCCTGTACACCACAGACAGACTTCTTTAGGGCGTAGTCTCACCAGTGTCAGACCAGGGAACGCCAAAAGGCGAACGCTACAAAGACAATTACCTATCGGAGCATTTTCGCTCGATCAACGCTGCCAGTCCAAATTTCTAGGATCCACTGATATCGATTGGAGAGAGCGTCGGCATCAGTTGGGAGCCCCCCTAACTGACGTCATGAGCCGAAGGATTGAATGTCGACGAAGGATGTTGTTGTCAATGGAGGCATTTGTAAGGAGTTAATGTCTCCCTGTCTGTGTGCGTGTGTTGTAGGGAACAAAAAAAATCACTTTTTGTTATGTTCGTTACCGATCTCTGGTGCAAGGGGGTTAAGACGGCTGTCACATGGGGTCTCGTCTAGTCGAGGCACGGTTAAAAAAAAACATCTACCCTTAAGTTAAATACAGTATATGTAAATATATATGTTTTTACAGATATTATAAAACTAAAAGTAAAAAAACAACAACTTTAAAACGAATGGCAGTCACGACTATAACCCCTGCGACTATCTCGATCCTGCAAAGTCGTTCTTCGCAGAACAATGTGAATGGCAGGGGTGGACAAAAAGAAATCTAATTTGTCTAATACATTTGAACTTGCTTAACCGCTAATTTAACTAAAATGCACGTATAATGGATTCGCTCAACTTGTGCATTTATGCATAACTTTTTTTTTTAAAGGGCCAAACGTGAGCGCTTTGTTTCCTAAGTGACTCTGCTTCTCTGATGGGCCTCGCCTGAGCAACTTGGAAAGTTTTAATTTCGCGACGATTGAACTGGAATTGGAAAGGGTTAGAAAGAAAATTAAGTCCATGATTTACGGTTCGTTCAGGAATGATGAGTAACTGTCCTCCACAGCTCAGTCACATCCTCTTTCTAAAAAAAAAACTGCGTTTTTAAAATCATCTATTCATGCCCATAGACGATGTAATAAACTCGCCCTAATTAATGTGCCAATTTAGATTAATGATCGCCAAGACATCCTCGTGGGCTTTTACAGATGAAGGCTCACCTTTTGAAGAGCGGTATATAAAGGTTAGGCGGTCTACCTTCGCACCAGGGCTCGTGTGTGAATTTTCACAAGAGCACCTGGAATAAAAGGTGAGTCTCTGTTTACAGCTACCGCGCTGGGTTCTTGGTTATGCGGCGCGACTCATGACCAATGCAGGTAATGACAATAAGGCAGTCCAATGTTGTATATATGTACTCTCTCGAAAGCCCATCTAAAATCAACACAGGTGAGCCTTGTTTACAGGTCCCTGGGCTCATTCTTGCTTTCAGAATATATACAGGCAGAATCTGATAAGCTATAAAGCTCTTGTTTAACAAATGGGTTCACGGTTATGCAGTGCAATTCATAATAATGCAGGTAGTGAGAATACAGCAGTTCAATCTTTTATACACTGTACTGTTGTGCAATTTATACCTTGTGTATGGAGAACAGGTGCACATTTCTATGCAATACAATAGGTGGAAGAGTGGTGCAGCGATTGATGTACTGCGTTATTACGTGTGACAACATGCGTTCGGTTATTGGCGATGCCTGATACATCTTAATATGATAGAGGTGGTATTAGTGGGATGCAGACTTAGTTTAGATAAATCCCCCCATAACGAAATATTTCCTCTTTGATAGTAATCTATGGACTCCATACAACATCGTGAAAACTGGAAATTACGATGTTTTCAGGACCGTTTGGGTATCAACATTATTTTCTAAATTTCTCACTTCGCCATTTGAGGAATATTTTCCAATTTGAAATGGATTCAGCCTGATAAAGATGCGAATCTGTTTATTCGCGATGTCGTTGTCACCTAGTCAGTTTGATTCCTGCTATGCTTTGTTTAATGGCCTCCGATTCTAACCTGCGTTGGCTTCAGCTGGTTGAAAAGGCCGCAGCAAAGTGCAGCGATTCAAATTATTGAATGACTGCACTGGCTTGCTGGAAAAAAATGTCAGGATTGATCAACAAAAAAATCTGCTTACGACTTACAGTGCCATTTGTGGTCTCAGGCCTTCGTATTTACAGGAACAGCTGCCACCTCATGTTCTTCATCCCAACTTGAGATCAGTGGAAGCTGATATTTTGCTCGTTGCTCAATTAAGAAAGGGCATTTAGCTGTGTTATATTGCTTGCTATGCCACATCAGGAATGCAGACAATCAAAGCTTTTACATAGTTTAAAAACATTATTACCTTGAGTTTACTTATTTTTCTAAACTGGATTTATTTGATGATATTTAAGTTTTAATTGCACTGTATATTGCCCTTGGGTTCCATGCACGCAGAAAGATATATGAAAGCGAATTGTAAATCTTGACTTGAAGCTTTCGTGACTGCAGGAATCCATACTCTTTGGTTCTTTCGGTAAAGTCACGTAAGGTATAAAATAAAATAAATCACGACGTTTCGGGCGCAACACAAGCGTCCACCATCAGGTGGGAAAGCATGGTCTGCTGCTGAGGCAGACTGTTTTAAAAAATTGTACATTCTACGTTTTTTTAAGCAACTGGCTTTGGAAAAAAAACATCAATTAACTTATAGTCATTCAAAAACATCAAAATAATCACATTCACACCACCAGTCAATGCGCACTGTAGCTTATGTGCGTACTCTCTAAGGAGCACATCACACGCACCGCGTGTCATGTAGTCGTAACGTCCCATGACGTGCTGATGATGTACGTTATAAAGAGCGAGTTTCAAAATAGCTTCAAACGAAGTGGCTTTTATAATTACAATTGCCTTTCATCGTTTCTAAATCATCATTTTCTCTTAAGAAAAGTCTCCCCCCCCCCCGCCCCACAACTGCTTTACATTGTCACGTAAACTGAATCATCCCAAGCGAATCATTTAATAATTTCAACAGCTCTTGCGGCGTGCCGATAACGTCTTTCTCGACGGACGACCCAGCCCCAATGGCTGCGTGTCAGCCTTTCCCTCCCAGCTCCTCTCCTCCTCTGGTCTGCCTTGTTTCAGAAGCTCAACAGCCTTTCCATTCTCCTTTGACACCACGTATTTAATATCAGCCTTCTGTGACGGCTGTATCTTCACACTGACTTTCCTCTTTCGTTTTTTTTTAAATCATAAAATACTGATGTCAAAACAACTACGAAGACGTGTCATAATCTGGAGCAGCGGAAAAGTAGACGAAAATAATAACATCCTCAACCAAGAAAATGTACACATTCCAAATAACTATTAGCATGTGGTGGTCCGTGAAATGTTTAGAGGTTGAAGAGGGGTCGGCACACTCGAAAAGGTTGGGAACCGTTGGTCAAGAAGCTTGTAAATCAGCTGATTGATTTTAAAAAGGCATTGTGTTCCTGCGTATGTTTATTCGTGACATCTACGACTTTGGTAATGATTTCATTGATGCAATATAGTCTGGTGTCCATACAGGACAAAAATAAAGATCCACCCCCCCTCCCCGTATAGCCTTTAATAGACTGTTGGGGACTGTTGGCGAGTACCTATGAAAGGTCGACACGGCATACGAGGGGGTGGGTGGCCAGCACCACGCATGGCCGCCTCTGTTCCCTCTCAGTGCTGATGTTAACACGTTGCGTCAAGTACTCGTTTGAGGCCGATTCAGCGTGTGGGTGAGATCCAGGACGGGCTGAGATGGTTTGTCACTGATGTTGGTGGCCGTGAGCTGGAATCGAACTCGGGTAACCAGATTCAGTGCAGCACGCTAACCACTGCGCCACCGCTCACACACACACACATGCCTCTCTACAACATGTATTTGCCCGGTTTATGCGGTGTCTTTATATGTGGTCACATGTAGATGCTTCGTAAACCCACGTTGTCTTTTATAATTGTCTCACATGTGTGCGTGTCGTGTAGCGGTTAGCACGCTGGCTTCAGAACATGGCTACGATTTTCTGAACCAGTCCTGGGCCTCCCCTAGGTAGCCTCAAATGAGTACCTGGTGCTGTGTGTAAACATCGCCACTAGGGAGACAAAGGCGGCCGGCCGTGGTGCCGGCAACCAAACCCTCTCGTGTGCCATTCCGGCTTTAAGTCAGTGCTCACGAACAGCACTTGCCCCAACAGTCCACGGTCTATGTATATATTTGCGTGTCCTGTTGATTTTAGCACGTGTTCGCAATTACAGAAGAAACCCCTTGCAAGACATGGCACTGCGCGGTCAGAGTCTGACACTCCTGCTGCTGGCGACGGCTCTGCTCGTCTCCTTGAATTACGCGCAGCACTACTCCCTGGAATGGAAACCCGGGGGCAAACGAGACCTGGAGGTCAGTCACACACGAGAGCTGGAGGTCAGTCACACACGAGAGCTGGAGGTCAGTCACACACGAGAGCTGGAGTTCAGTCACACACGAGAGCCGGAGGTCAGTCACACGCGAGAGCTGGAGGTCAGTCACACACGAGAGCTGGAGGTCAGTCACACACGAGAGCCGGAGGTCAGTCACACACGAGAGCCGGAGGTCAGTCACACACGAGAGCCGGAAGTCAGTCACACGCGAGAGCCAGAGTTAAGTCGCACACGAGAGCCGGAGTTCAGTCACACACGAGAGCTGTAGGTCAGTCACACACGAGAGCTGGAGGTCCGTCACACACGAGAGCCGGAGGTCAGTCACACACGAGAGCCGGAGGTCAGTCACACACGAGAGCTGGAGGTCCGTCACACACGAGAGCCGGAGTTCAGTCACACACGAGAGCCGGAGGTCAGTCACACACGAGAGCCGGAGTTCAGTCACACACGAGAGCTGTAGGTCAGTCACACACGAGAGCTGGAGTTCAGTCACACACGAGAGCTGTAGGTCAGTCACACACGAGAGCCGGAGGTCAGTCACACACGAGAGCCTGCCTGCCTGCCACTAGCACGAACCTGTACCTCTCAAATACAATTGCACTATCAGCTCCGTGAAAGAGTTCATAAACAAACACAAGTTGTTGTGATGGTGGGGGGCGTCGAAATGCCGAGCAGTTTTCTTTCGGTCAACGCTGCGTGTTATTTTACCATTTGCTCCGTGCTCGAGCAGAATATCCAGATATTATCAGCTTCCACTTCCATGGTGAACTGGATGGATGGGTTTTGTGAGTTGAGATGATTTAGAAAAGCGTTCAGTGTATCTTTGCCGTGTGGCTAGCCCACCGATGTGTCATCCACATCTAAACCAAGCAGAGAGTTTTAGTGTGCTTGAAGCTATTGCTTTTGTTTCAAAATCTTCCATGTACAAATTCGCTCTCAAGAATTTGCATGTTCTATTTACGTGACAAACCTTAATAATTGTCTGTGTCGGGTGGTGACGGGTTTACCGACACATTAATATTTACGCTATCTAACCCAAAAAAAACTGTATTAAGGATGATATTGGTCGCGAAAGCCTACGTGTTAAGTTTGCTTTTAATTCCTCTGTTAAACTCAACAATGGCAACATGAAATAAAGCTTGGGGACAAGTTTCCGAGGTTTCAAATGTGAGCAGCGCCGGGAACAAATCCTATAAAAGATGCAAAAGAGGCGTCTCCGTACAGCAAAAACGGACCCGGAATCCTGCTTGCACATTTCGCTTTGCACACGTAGTACACGGGAACGTGATAGTGCACCACCTCGCCGTGCTGTGCCGCGTGTTTTCAGCAGGAGCTTGAGCCGCCGAGCAACGCGTTCGAGTGCGACGGACCCGAATGCGCCTTCTCTCGAGTGCCCAACACCAAGCTGATCAGGGAGCTCGCGGTGAGTCGCCGTGCTTTGCACGTGCTAGTTGCGGCGCTGCCCGAGGACGCGTTCGGATGTCTAACTTCGAACCACTGCGTAGGAGATTTTCACGTCGAATGTGTGTGCCATTGTCTTTTGTCTTTAAATTGCCTTTTGTAAGCCTGGGCCCTGTTTAAAAAGAGACTTTTAGTCTGAATAGATTCTCACCTGTCTGAACAACGAAGGCCCTATTTTTCCCAGGGAGTAGAGGATGGGACGGGAGGGGCAGGTGGAGGCTGGTTGACTTGGGTCTCAGATTCGACAGGGGCCTCAGAAGGAACCCCTTCCAAGCCCCACGAATGAATGAGGCCGAAGTCAGTGGCGCCCGTGTGACATTTAGCGAGGGCTAAGAGGATTTCTCTCCCCTCTCGGGGTGAACGTGATGTTAAGGTGATTTATGTAGCATTAGACGGTATGCTGCTAGATCTTTGTAAGAGCAATTCAAGGATAACAAATAATATTTACACTGTTCTCCTTCAATCCGAATAGTCCGAGAGACAGGTTTGTGGCAATACAGAATCAGGCGAGGCATCTAACTAAACTGTGCCGCACTGATATAATTCAAAGTGAACCCACCTACAATGATATATATTTATCGTTTTAAGTGTTTTCGTTCATTCAAAATGAAATAAATAATTAGAAAGTGCAAAAGGTTGTTAAAATTGGTTGTGAAATCCAAGTAAAATCAATTGTTTTTACAGAAATGTTTTCTTTAATACCACTCATAGTAAAGTATGACTATGATAGCTTTATTTGGTATAATGATAACGTTTCAATCATTGCATTGTTTGAAAGTGTGTCGTGGTCAAGTCACCCTTATCGAATGTTAATCTCATTATAGCTTTTACTTGCATCCTTATAAAGTTTGCCATTTGCTATAAATGACATGTATAAAATATTTTAATGCAAATTGAAATACGTTGGCTAGACCTGCCGTTCTACCCTAAGCCTCCAAAACCTCAGCAGCTGCTGTGTGTGTGTCATCGCACGTTATATGTGAATTATTACTCTTTCAAACATCAATTTATTCACCCAGAAAAAAAACTTTTGAGTCTGCAGACTTTTTAAAGAAGTTCCAGCTTGGTATTCTTGTCCAATACAATTTTCATTATTACACGTTTGTAATTACGTACAAAATTTTAGGTGGTTATTTTTCATGCTTATTGGAGGAAACCTTCAAATGTGACACCGTGGTTAGTTCACTGTGCTTTGAACAAGGTGGCCCAAGTTTAATTGGACATCTGTGAAACGACTGGATGTCTGTGAAAAAAGAGATTTATAGCTGGTCGGGTTCTTCCAGTATCAATAAATATTCTGAATATGATCATTCCCGGCTTTGGCTATCATCGGTGATATCTGAAACCAGTTCTGGTCATTCACCCCTCCTCTCACCGTGGCCAGTCAAACCCCCATTATAGACATGTCTTGGAGAAGCCTTCATTGTGCAGTGGATTGACAAATAACTGTAAATGAATTAAGCGCTCATGAACATTTTGACGTTTCTGTACCATGCCCTTTCAGAGCTACCTCTCGCAGAGGAATTATGATCGGAAAGGAGCTCTGAAGTAAGACCCCACGCATCTCAGGGTGCAGATGAAGACGACCAAGGCTCCGACACTTCGCAACATTCCTCTGAAGCACGATGTTTAGAAACCTTTCAATGAACGCCCTTTCACCTTCGTCTTAACCACGTGTTATTGCCCGTGACGTCTCTTCGACACGTTGTGTCCTTAATTACATTCATCGCCGCTCAGCGTATCGTTAACATGATTGTGACCGTACACATTTTATTTGTGCAGTACATAGTACTATGTTTCAGAGTGGCTGTCCTGTCTGTGGGTGGGATACACTGTGCTATGCGTGGCCATGTATAACAAGGAGGTGTTGTGCATAAATAAAATTGTTATAAACGAACACATCGAGTGCATTTGTCTTATTGCCATGCTGTGTTCAACCACCAGATTGCAGGTGAAAGCTCTTCACCTCTCTGCATATTTCCTCGCAACTGCTTGACTTTGGGATTTTCTCTCTCAGAGCACGGCGAGTGTAACCCAATCGTGACCTCAGCAGACGCTCCAGGTGGTTACGAGATAAATGTTGCGTCCCACTTTGATGTGGGTGCACCGATGGAATTCCCTCCCATCGTCTCTTTTTGCCATGTGCTTATAACCGGAATCCAAGACTTGTGCAAACTCGAATCCATTTGTGTCCTCACCAGTACCGTCTGTTGCTGGCTGCTTGGAAATTTGAGCATTTAGTCCTGTACATTTGGGCCTGTACTCAATGACCGTTATAACAAAATAAAAACAAAACATCTGCAAACAAGTGCAGTGCGTGACACAGGCAATAATCATTACATTTTTACACACGCCGGCCTTAGTGATGCATCGCATGAGGATGAATTCTCTGCTGTCATAAAATGCCCTTCATTTAAATACATAAAACACAATGAAGATTTGGAATTTCATTAGTAACAGAGAACTGTGGGACTCTGGTTTAACATTTGAAATGTGTTTTTACATGAAAGGTGGACAGATAGCAAAGCGGTTTTTCGTGCACCACGCTCTAAACCCGGCAAACTGAATGTGATTCTCATCCACGGCTAACATCAGTTGGCAAGCGATGTCTGAACTGTTCCCGGCCTCTGGATCATTCTCCCTTCACGCAATCAGCTCTTCTGCCTTGAGTGGAAAAGTATAGCCATCTAACCGCCATGAACGAAACGGCATGGGGGAGGTTCATTACTAGAATAATACCATTGCACTCCACTGGATAAAATGTACCTGTGCGTGCATGCAGAGCATGTGACGTCTACAAATATTACGCGCAGATTCACGGTTACCTCGTAGCATTCAACTTAAAGTTTTAGTTTGTCTTGTTTCGTGAAATTATCAGGAACATAATGTAGATAGTACAAACGACATTTGGGAGGCCGTTGGGTCCTCCTAGCTCACTCCACAATCTCGTCGAGGCGTTTTCTGAAGAGACCCGGTTGCATCAGCCTCCACCACCACGTAACTGTGTTGGGCCATCTTGTTCCAGACTTCCACCAACTATTTTCATTAAAAAAACACAAAGAGCCTTGTGGCCTCGGTCCTGAACTTTCCCACGCATGACCTTTGGGAGGTCTCTTGCCTATGTTGAGCAGGACGTAGTAGCAGTTCGGATGGACTTGGTCAATATTATATATTTTTAATCGTTGCACTGAGCTAAGTTAATCCTGGATAATGTATTGCCCTTTGTCAATCCACTGCTGGTTTAAGATCTCCCTACGCCATGCTGGTCAAGGTAGGGGGGTTTAACATACTTCACCATGTACACCGACACGCACACTTCCATTGAGTAATCTAAAAATACATGTACGTTGAATTCATTTCGTAGCCAACCGTGCTATACGGAGATGCAAGGGAAGGATAACAAACTAAACACTAAAAGCAGTTCCAGAAATGAGTTTCCAATCTAAATGTAAAAGTGCATAGCTCCAGTGTTTCCTAATATCGAAAGGAAGAGTGTTGCAGATGGCCGCAGAAGCACATCTGAAAGCGAGCAAAGCAGTGACCGTGTTTGTTCGATGGTTAGCCAAAAGCCACTTCGAGGATATCACTTGCCACTGATGTCAGTCGTGGCCAGAAATTGAACTCAGGACACCGGGTTTATAGAGCAATGCGTTGACTCTTGCACCACCGCTCACCCAAGTACTCTACAACATTGAATATTTTAGTTATAGTGCAATAGTGTGTTGATGTTTTTTTTTAAAATATGAATGACATCGAATATTCAAATAACAAACCACTACTGTAACTTGATAATTTAAGTAAATTACATTCAGAAAAAATGTATAACTTTTTCAAAATTGTGACATTGGACTTTTACCATGTTTATATAAGTAGAGGCCATGTGCATTAGAGTGAAATTGCTTTGACAATTGAACATTTAACGCTTCTGCTGATGCAGTAGCATATGACAAAACGTGACCGAAAGGTTTCCGTGAGCGCATAGTAGCCACAATGATGTGAGTCAGAAATAGACATCGATAAAGGGAATAGAATACAAAACTAAAAAGTGTGCAAAGAAGCAAGAAGAGACGCAGGACGGAAACTACGCTGCGAAGGACACACGGAAATCAGGGACATCATATATATTATTCTTGGTTCTTTCGGTAAAGTCACGTAGAAGGGAAACAATAAAATAATAAAAATATAAAACAATACAATTCTCACGACGTTTCGACTGTAACGCAAGCAATCATCATCAGGTGTGAAAAACACACTTTTTTTCAAATTTTCTTGCTGTGGTTTTCACACCTGATGATGATTGCTTGTGTTGCAGTCGAAACGTCGTGAGAATTTTATTGTTTTATATTTTTATTATTTTATTGTTTCCCTTCTACGTGACTTTACCGAAAGAACCAAGAATATACATCATATATTGTTAAAGAAATGGCGAGCGTGGGTAGGAGGCACCATGACCAGAACGGAAAATGGTAGCATGCAGTAGAGGATAATTAACACAGAGATGGAGCGATGGAATGAGTTCATGCTCAGGACTGAAATGGATTGTGTCATTGCAGGACCTCTCCAGAGACGGCAATGTTGTGGGGGGAGGCTTTCATGCAGCAGTGGATAGGACATGGCTGCATCTGATGATGATCATGGTGAAACGTGGCCGATGATTGTAAAAAATGAATGATTTTTATCCTTGCTTATTTAATTCAAATATTAATTTTAAAAGATTAAGAGGTATAATTTAATAGGTTTAGTGGGACATTTGTTCAGTTTGCATTGTTTAATAAGTTGAGTACTTAAAGTTTATACGTGGCGAATTTTTATCCTTTACCTTGGCAGTGATGAGGGGTCATTCCGTCACAGAAAGATGAAAACGTAATGATTAAATCCTCCTTTTTAACCATTGCAATCGTTGAGAAGCACGCGCTAATGGATGTGATGATTGTATTATATGGGTATATGCAGAGCTTAATTTCTTTAGCCAGTGCTGTCCCTGGCTGAGTTTTTGAAAATATGTTCATGCTAGGAGAGGGTGGGGGCTAGGGGGTTCAGTGGGCTTTTATTCATCAGGGTGCCCTCGAAAATATTCCAAATACAATTAAGCCCTGTGTACTCGTGTATGTACCACAGGCTATGTGACAATATTCGTTTAACTGTGCAATCCAAATTCTACTGGATGCGATCCCATCATTACGTCTCTCGGGAGCCATGAATGTGTGTCCACGTTGGAAGAATTTACGACAGCTGTGCTCAAACTACGATTATGCTCAGTTGTGTTTCGTTGATGCCCAGTAGACCTACACATTATCTACTTAGTCCATAAACGTATACGCCTTATGGACCCAATGATCCAAAAAATCATCTTATTCAAGCAAATTCAACCTGTTTTCACTGATAAATTATCATCATAAGCCATGCTCAAATTTTCAAGAGCCGCGACGTGAATGTGAATATGAGACAGTGGTCCAGCTTATTGAAGAATATATTAAGTACGTTTATTATATTATGTAATATAGACTTAGTTCTTTTCACATCGGTTTACTGTATGAAAGTTGGGTAGTTGGAGGCCTATAGCGTCCATATACTAAATGCCTCTGTTGATAGGTAAACTCTGACTTTAACATAGCTATTTCTGTCACAAGCTAATCCCTCAGCCATATCAATGCTAAATTCTCCTGCTTTGATACTTAAACTCCTTTGTCAAGAGGTTTCACGCCTCTCACCGAGCTTAAAAAGACGCTACGAATCTTAACAGCGCTCACTGGGGCACTGTCGTCCCGACAGTTCTGTTCTTTCACCTGATGAGGGCTGCTTGTGTTGTGGCCGAAACGTCGTGAGAATTATATTGTCTTATTTTATTGCATTATTTTATTCTCATTCTACGTGACTTTACCGAAAGAACCAAAGAAGACAGTGGTCCTGAATAAATAATGTAAAGAAGCAGCATTTAAAGAGGTCGCCGATCCCTCGCCATGGTCAATGCACTGCTGAACGACAGCTACCTCTCACGACTTTGCGATGTAATAACCATTGCTCCATCTCCTCGGTGGGCGCCCTCTCGGATGCATTCCATTATATGGCTTCCACTCAATTTTTGATGGAAAAAAATGTTAACTACCTCGCCTGGTGTACTATGAGGGCGTGGGTTCGATCCCGACCCTGACGCCTGCTGTGTATTTGGAGTTCGCATGTCTCTCTGCCCGTGGTCACGTGGCATTTTCTCCTGGTCCTCCAGGTTTTCATCTCCACATTCAGAATCATGCATTCTGAGTATCTGGCTGCTATAAATGTCCACAATTGCGGAAAGCCACTCCGTTGAGCTATCATTTGTGGCCACAGCTGTAACAAAAAAGTTTAGTGGGCCTGACCTGGTAAAATAAAAATGTTTATTGTGTCCTTTAACTCACGTGTTTGGTTACCTTTCCGTCTCCCGATGTAATTGCAGGCGCGTGTCACATGAGAAGGATGGGGGTCGTGGGGGAGAATCTCCACACTTTCGCCTGTTAAATAAGTGGCGCTCCGTAGGCTGACCTTACGGGCAAGATCCATACATTCAATCTACGAGGCGTGTCAGCGCAAAAAAAGTAGTTAGGTATTATTTATCTGGACGTAAACATCACTCTCCGAGTGCATCACGCTCCGTCAAAATGTTTTGACTTCGGCCCACATTACAAGGCATTATGATGAATCGAGTATTACCTAAGCTCGAAATTGCATCTCACATACGTGCATAAGAGCCTAAATGAACTTATATTTAGGCGTATAAAGTATTGGCGTAATTTAACGACGGTAAAATATGTCTTGCCGCACTCGAAACCCGGATAACACGAACCATTAATAGGACTATAATTGTTACATTTCCTATTTACTGCGCCTTAAGTAGACTTACTCATGTAAGTCCTCAAAGCTTCATTTTGCAAAGTAATTTTAGTTGAGCTATATTAATGACGCGAGTGGAAAATCTAATTCGGCTAATACATGTGAATCTGCTCAGGCGCTAATGTCACGTCACAATATATGCAAAATGGATGCGTTCAATTAATGCGCTAATGCGTTAGATTTTGGGCTAAGTGTGAGCGCATTTAATTGTTTCGTTAGCAGGCCCCTTTCCCTTCCGAAAAAAAAGAAGTCTCGCCTTAGTCACCTACGGAAGTTTACATTTTTTTACCGACGGATTCTACCATAACTGTTGAAAACGAAAATAAGACGCGACTCAAAGCGTTGTATCGGTAGGCTTGTGAGTGGGCTTCTTGCATACCTTAACTTCGCACCCACGCACTTCTCAACCTCTCCCGAGCCTCATTCATCATATCCTTCCAACAACCCTCCCCTCCCCCTCTCTCTCTCACTGTCACAGCCTTTATAACACCCCCCCCCCCCATTGCGTCTTTAGCGCGCGTTCTCGTCCGCAGACTGTGCAATCAGTGCGCCCTAATGGACGTGTCGATTTGCATTCATTATTCATTATCAATCACTAAGAGAGCCCTGGGGAATTGTGTCTGATTAAGGCTCACTTTTGGGGAGCGGTATATAAAGGTGAGCAGATCTCACGTACACGTACGCTCCGCATCAACTACCGAAACAGATTCCTCTCCGAGCTCGTCTTCGCGCGGTGGTTTATTTTCTCAACAGACCGTCTGGAATCATCACAGGTGAGCGCCTTCGTTCAGGTACGCGGGGCCCCACTGTTGCTCTATTCACTTCGTAATCGTGAACGTAATGAAAATACGGCAGTCCAATATTGCGTGCTTTGCCATGAAACGTATAGCTGGTGTATCGAGGTCAAATTGTACACGCACGCACGCGCACATTTGAAGAATGTCTATAGACGGTGGAGCGGTGGCACAGTGGTTAGCGCACTTGCACTGTCAACCTTGGAATACGTGGGTTTGATTCTTCGCCACGGCTGACACATCCACAATTCTGTACGCGTTGTGTAATCTGTGCGGTCCTTTTTTGTGTCAATTCACTGCTGGATGATGGCTTCCCCAACGCCGTGTGGAAAACAGAGACATCAGGAGCATCGAAGTACAGAACAGTGGATTGTGCTGCGCTAGTCTCACAGCCTATGGGATGGTGGTCACCCATCCAAGCACTTCTCCAGGCTCAAACTTGCTTAGCCCCTCACGAGATCGGACAGTTTACGGGCGAGAAGGTCGATCGCAATGCAATGCCATACATGACGCGATTAAATGCACAGTTGGTACATCGAGGTGAGATGTACAGGTGTAACCTTGGAGAGCGCGGGTCGCCCCCTGCGTCGCGTTGTCTAACGCACTTGCCGTGCGCAATGCCGACTGCAAGCGGGTGGAGCAGAGTGGTTAGCGCAGCCGGATGAATTCGATTCCTGTCCAAGGCGACCATCAATAGTGGCAGTGACCACAGTGGTGAAGTATGGACAAACACCCCCCCCCCCCCCCCCGCCAGCGTAATCCAGCAGCGTATTGACAATGTGCTGTACATTTAGCTTTAAATAAACAGCGGCGAGAGGTGATGGTTAAAGGTTGTGCGCTCTTAAAACAAAGTTGCTTGCGTCTGTTTGTGCAATTGCGTGCGTTCTGCGTGGACACAAATACACACAAAAGAGAAAAATCCCCCGTGTAGCCTTAACAGAATTTTGGAGGGAGTTGCTGGTAGCAAGCACCTGTTTCGGCAGACACGGTACAGGAGGGGGGTGGATGGCCAGCACCACGCCCGGCCGCCTTTGTCTCCCCAGTGGCGGTGTTGGCCGTGAGCGGGAATCGAACGCAGCCTTGAAGCACACACACATACACACGTGTGCTGGTATTGGCCTCCATAGGTGCTCGTGAATATCACTTGCCCCAGGTCTGTTGAGGCTATATGGGGGATCTTTGCCTTCGTGCCCGTGTGGACAATCGCGTGGCACAGCGGTTATCTCACTGCGCTCCGAAATCGACAACCCGAGTTCAATTCCCGGTCACGGCGCCCAACACCCAGTCCTGGGCCTGAACCGGTCCTGGACTTCCTCTAGGTCGACTCGGCATCAAAACGAGTACTGCAGCTCGTGCGATCTGTAGACATCGCCACTGGCGATGCAAAGTTTCTGCCCCCGGGCGTGGTGCTGGTCACCCACGGCCCTGGTGTGCCGTGCCGGCGGAAGCTTCGTAGGCGCGCGCTCGCTCACAGCACAGCACTTGCTCCCTCCCCAACAAAGTCCGTGAAGGCTAATTACCGGGGCGGGGGGGGGTTCTTTGTTTTTGTGTTGACAATTTACAGAAGCCACACTCGGCTGCTGTAGAGATGGCACTGCGCGGTCAAAGCCTGGTTCTGCTGCTGCTGGCGTCGGCGCTGCTGGTGTCGCTGACGCACACACAGCACTGGTCCCACGACTGGAAACCCGGAGGGAAACGCGACCTGGAGGCCATGAGACCACTGCTGGAGGTCACTTGCACGCGAGCGCCTTTGTCTCTCCTCCTCCCCCCCCCCCCTCTGCGTCTGATGGATGAGAATGTGTGCTGCGAAGAAGGGCAATTGCCCGAAACGTCGCCCGTTACACGCTACATGTTGCCTATCGAGGCAGTGTTATTGACGTCGACGTGGTTGACGTTAATTTCGCGCGTGTCATTGCGCCACTGCCAACGCAGCATCACCAAACAATTCGTTAGACACGAGACCAGGGGGGGTGGGGTGGGTGGGGGGGTCGCCAATCTGCAGCTCTGGAGCGGCGTGCAACTCTTTAAGGACTAGCTTCGAGACGCGATTCATCAAGGACCACCACAGTCTCTTATTCGTATTGCATTGGGGGCGCTCTTGAATTAGAGGGGGGTTTTTATACCGAATAAAAAACAAATGGCTCTTCTTGTTATGGTTGTCAACCCCTGCGCTAACGGTGTATTGTACTCGAAATTATTCAACGAGCAGCTTACTTTATTACGATTGTTTACGCAGGAGAGCCTGACCGAGTCTCATTGCTCCTTTTCAGAAGTCCTGGCATAGTTTTATATTTTGAATACGTATACAATATTCAAATGGAGTAATTTACGGGTAATTGGACTAGGACACCGGCACACGATGGCCTGCTCTTGCGAATGACATCAGGGGAACATTCATGTCTATTGTGAAAGGGACAGCGCGTAGTAGTCTTACGGTTATGACAACCGCAATATTAACCAGGGTGGCCGCTAGAATGGAAAGGTGAACCTCCGCAACAAGAGGCGAACGCGCTCACCCGCTGGTTCACTTTACAAGCGACATAGTTCAAAAACTCGAAATGTTGTAAATGCCAAAAAAATAGTTGCACTAAGTTTCTTTTATCTTTTTTTCTTTAAATGTATAAAGTAAATAAACCAGAGAACAGCCACCGAGGAGATTGAGTTATCAAATCGATTCATGTGCAGATGCCAGGTTGATTACTACATCGCACCATTGTGAGAGGAGGCGACGACTTGAGGGATTCCTTCATCCAGCGGTGTATTGGCTTTGGCCGATGATGATAACTTGAAGAAAAGTGTATTCTAGTGGTATATATGTATATGACTATGTGCGTTTTAACTAATAACATCCGAATTCATAGTGTTAATTACTCATTTCCCAAGTGCCCTTCGTGGGATGTTTATCCTATTTCTCGACACATGGCATTTGGCAATAAACCAAAGCGAACATCAACGTTCACATTAATATTATGATCGTCTTGCGTATGATGACAATTTGTTCAGGAGTCAACCAATTTCGAGGTCCGTTAGCCACGATGACAGAGCAGGCTTCAGGAGAGACTTCGTGTAGTTTTGCCATTCCTCCTCCGTTGAAGGAGCGTAGGCCCGCAGTGGTTTATCATATGGTCCGCAGCTCAGATTAGCGCGGTTGTCGATGTAAAGTGCGCGAAAGAAGTTCGATATACATACAAATCACAGGCTGGTCATTTTGGTTTCATTGTCCTCCTGCCTCCCTTCGAACACGCAGATCGCATGGCCACAATCATGCGACGGTGGATCTGTCTTTAATATTGAATTCACATTAATAACTACATTTGAAACGTGATATATGTGTATGCTTCGGTAAGCTGCAACTAACACTCTCTAATGTGATGGGAAAAACACGCAACATTACATGCCATGTGCATGTTTCAGTTAACACACATTGGTAGCCGTGGCACACTACGGGAAGCAGAGTTTGTAGTCAGTTGTGAAAAATGGCAGACGTGGAGGCGGGGGGGGGAGATGAGCGTGAAAGGGAATGAGGAATGCCGGGACAGAGGTGCCCGACTCGGACATAGAGGAACGGCACGGCTCAAGATGAGCAGCGGTGGAGAAAGAAGACTTTTGACTTGTATTGCTGCCAGCAGCAACAGCACCGGGGCCGACATCGACACGAAACACAAGGTAGCCAGCAACAAATAACCAAACGTAATAACAAACAACAAAAACAACAGCACGCGCTGCGGCCACGTGGCGCTGCTGCACGCGCCACGCACAGACACAAAAACGTCACGTGGTGGTGGTGATGGTGGTAGCCGCGCAAGCCACGTCCCCCGACGACAGAGCACAGAAGAGGAGTGCTGAGCAAGCGTGGGAACAGGAGCGGGGGAGACGGACCGACCGAGACAAGATATCGGGGATGAGCGGGGGCGGGTAGGGAGACGATAGGAGTGTAAAAGCAGAGAGGGTGATGTGCATGGGGAACATGCGTGCGTTTTCGCAGATGGGAGAGATTCATTGCGGGTGGGTGGTGGTGGTCGCAAGCATTAGTCGCGAAATTGACGAGGGTCTTGAGCGGATTTTAATAACGCGATCGCTCGGTTACTGATACAGTTACGCACAAAAGTAATCTTCAACAGCAACACGTTGGCCAACCATCATCAACCTCGGCACGCTTTGCTTCCTTAGTAGGATTCCATCATCGCTGTTGTCCGTTTTCTTAACGCAACCCCGCGATAACCAGCAGCAGCAACCAACCCAAATAAATACGCGCGCGGCATTGAATATTTTGGCAGCCGAACATCAAGGCACCGCCATACCGGTTTAATTCTAAGTCGGAGCTCACTTTACCTGGGGAGCATCCACTGTTACCTGTTGCTGCCACAGCAGCTACCCGAGACACGTGATGCTGAGCAGTCCTCTCTCAACGTTGTGGGGACGAACGGAGCGCAGCTTAAGCGCAACAAACCACGAAACAAACTCAATCCCTCTCTAGAGCTGCAGAGGCAACTTTTTTTTTACATCCAGCAATAAATGTGCGCGGATCAGAGACGCGTTCAAATAGATAAAAAGGGTGACGTCACTAGCGAACAATAACATGGATCCCAGCATGCATTGCGCGTCAAGATGCCATCACCCATTGCGCACGTTCTGCACAGAGCCTTGTGATTGGCCACGAACCTCGTTTGGACTCACGTGGAGTACACGTGTACGTCTCTGGATAAAGCAAAAGCAGCGTGAAGCCTGGATAGTGCTTTGACGGGTGGCCATCATGCGTGTGTGAGCAGACACTCTCCCCACCAACACGCGGGAGGCAGGTCAGGGTTCCAGTTCCTCCTCCGTCACGCACAGCGCCCGCTCCTTCATCCGCCGCTCACTCCTCACGGTCCCATCTCCCGTCCCCTCCACCTCCGCGCATCCCTGTCACCTCATTACCAGCTACCAATCGCAATTGTCGTCACTCCTCCAGACCATGTACCCTCGTTTCCGGTCTCACTTTCTTCACACCGTGGGATTTAGGCAACTCGGAAAAACGATGCCGTCGATTCAACTTGCCGCAGCGGGATATGGAACCCGGCGGGTACGTACGCGTGTGTGAATGTGACGCTTTTTTGTGTGTGTGTGTGCGTGCCACGTGATTTCAGCAGGAGCTTGAGGCGCCGAACAGCGCGTTCGAATGCGACGGACCCGAATGCGCCTTCGCTCGAGTGCCGACTGGTGAGCTCGTCAGGGAGATCGTGGTGAGTAGCTATGCGCTTCCCCTGCAGCTGTCGCTACTGCCTGAGCAAGAGTGTCCGTGAAAAGAGACTGCCGAGATCAGAGTCGTGTGACTTTCTCAACCCTGCGGTGTGAAGCTTCCCAAAAGCCCATTGATTTAAACTTAAAAAAAAAATTTGCTTCAAAAACTGATTACCAGGCTGCTGCTGTTGATGATGTTATTATTTTATCTGGGAAGAGATATGCCTTTGACAATGTTAAACATTCGCACCTCCGATTAGCGCAGTTGGCTACGTAAGGTGCAAACGAAGTTCAACATACATAGATTACTTAAATAGTGTGATTGTAAAAGTAAGACATTTGCCTTGTAAGGGAGTGGGGTTTTGTGGGGGAGCGGTGGCGCAGTGGTTATCGAACTGCACTTTGAACCTAGCGAACTGAGTACAACAACAATCGGACTATGCGAAAAGTAGGGGAAAAAGTCGCCTGTGTTCCCACGTGTGCCGCTGGACGGGAAGGTGATGGGCGGGACTTGGCGACATTATCGGCATTATCAGGCACGTCACGCTGGGCGTGGCGTGTCGGGGGTTTCCCGCCTTCCGAGTAACCGAGCAAACATAAATAATCAATCATAATTGTTACCGAACCATACAAAAAACGTGCCTATTATCATTTTGAGTAAATTAATCGACTAATCGCCACTGCTCGAGTCTTAAGCTTGTGCGTTAATTCCGGAATTCAGAGTCGAATCAGGGCCCTCGAGCGAACCATTGCCAACTGCTGCCACAGAAGGAGAGGTCAGACGCTGCCGCAGCGATCGACAGAGCGCTTCGTGTGGCACGCGCCCTGGTCGACATGACTTCAACGGGAGCACTCCCGCACTCAGACACGGCGGTGACGTTATCTCGGTGCAAGTAAATAAACATACATTCCAGACAATTCACCAAATATATATGAAGTGTGTGTGTGTTTAAAAACGGATTTTTTTTCTTCCATACTTCACCACGCTGGTCAGTGCGAGTTGGCCAAGAGAGAAGTGGGGAGGGCATGACCAGGCATGCCGTCACTTGGCACTCAATGATGTTAGCCGTGGCCGGGAATCGAACTCGGTGCACTGGGTTCATAGCGCAGCGCGTTAACCAGTGTACCACCGCTCCATCCGAGGTATAAATCACAGCGCTCTACTGTTTGCGGCCCTTTGTCAGTCTACTGCTGGATGAAGGCTTCCCCAGTCCATCGCAATCTCTGACGATCCTGCGATGCAACAATACACCGGGCACATGATGGGACTGTGCATGATTTAAATGAGGAACGTTTTAATGGACACGTTTGACACGATGCTGCTGCTGCTGCATAACCGTGTGCTTTCAGAGTTACCTCTCGCAGAAGAATTATCAAAGGAAAGTTCTGAAGTAAAAGCCCCGCGTCTCAAGCTGCAGATGAAGACAATCAACGCTCCCGACAATTCGAGAAGTTCCTCGAGAGCGCCACGTGACACGAACCCTGTCAATGAAATGCCCTCGCTGTGGTCTGTGACGTCTCTTAGACCCTTTGTGTTTATTTAATTCTTCATCGCCGCTCAGCGTATCGTCAACATGACCGTGGCCATATGCGTTTATGTGCACCATACATAGTACCGTGTTCCAGAGTGGCTGTGTGTAGGTGGCGTACACTTTGTTATTATTGGTCACGAACAGGCCACGCGTAACAACAAGGCGTTGTCCGTGAATAAAGTTGTTATAAGCGATGACTCCGAGTGCATTTGTTTTATTGGTACAGACAAAGAAAGAGTCTAAGTGAGTATTAAAAGCAGTGCTCATCGCCGGTGGTTGACGCAGCCCCATCACTGCATGGGCTGAGCCGTGCACCTTGATTTAAATCGAGATTGAAAATTAATTTCTTTAGAACTGATTGTTGTGTGGAGTTTGTTATCCTTCCACCGCACCTCCGATTAGCACGGTCGGCTACGCACGGTACGAAATGAGTTCAGCATACATACAGCCCCGAGCCAGTGGATGCATTTGCGCATTCCTGTGACGGGGGCGTGTGCATCCATCTGACAACCACTGTTGACTTACCCACGAAGCGGTACCTATTTTATCGGGCCCGGAAGTATGATGGGCTGAGTCAACCCCAAAACCAGGATTTGAACTCGCCACCCTTCCGTTTGCGAGATGCTCGCTCTCATCGCTAAGCCACCTGACCCTGACTGACCTCTTTCCCAAATAACCTCGTTGAAAGCGGTCGTCGCGAGCGCATTTTTTTTTTTTGGTAAAGTCAACTCTTTAACGCGCGCAACTGCAATACGCGACGCGCACGCAACGAGCTGCAAACGTTCCACGTAAGCCAATGTGACGGCGATGATGTCACCTGAACGTGTACGTGAAGTTGAATTTTCTGCACCGCAGAGTGTCCGTTTAAACACGTGGAACTCCATTGGGACGTGCTATTTCGTTTGCCAATGGGGCAGTGTACTTCGCCAATGTTCATAGGGGGGCCACTGTCGCCAATAAGACATCAGCAGTGTGACACCCGCCACACATTTGAAACCATTGGGATTTGACAGCAATGATGGGAAGGTTTTGTCACATTGGTGCATTGTTGGGGGCCGCACTAAAGGCCACCAGGGACTGCCAGTGGCGCGCGGGCCTTGCTATGAAGACCACTGCAATAGAGGATTGTGTAACGTTGGCTTACGTGTTGAAATATGTATTTACAACATTGTCGCAGCAGAGTAAGGGCGGGAGAGGGGGCGGTGATTAGCGCATTGCTCTGAGTATTGAACTCAGGAGGCCGTGTTCATAGCGCTAACTACTGCGTCACCGCTCTCCCAAAGTCTAATACAGTATCTGCTTGGTTCTTTCGGTAAAGTTACGCAGAAGAGAAATAATAATTATTATTTATAAATAATTATTATTTCCCTTATTTATAAATAATTATTATTTCCCTTCTACGTGACTTTACCGAAAGAACCAAGAAGATGAATCCCTGCGGTCACGAAAGCTTTAAATCGAAATCTAATACAGTACTTGCAATAATTATAATAAAAAAAACGTTAGATATATCCACAATACATTAAAGACGATGCAAAGCATCGCACACATTTTCTCTCCGATGTTTTCAAGTTGTACTGCGTGTTGCTCAGCATGATGTCCGAAGTTTCGCACCACGTGCTCGGGACATCTCCAGGATCATGTCAGAAAACACACCGAAGACCTACAACAGCACAGCCGTGAAAATCTGCGCAGTGCAACATTCGCACTCTGTTCTATAATTCCCATGACAAATCAAAGCAAAATAAATCGGCACGTTGTGCAGAATCGGGTTACACGTCCCATCGACCAAAATAGCACTAGCTTCGTGGGACAAAATCATACGGAGTCATTGGCATCGTCGTCGTAATCATCAGGATTAGATCGCGCGCTCGCAAAGGTGAGGAGGCTGATGAATGCGATGGTGCTCAGTGGCTCACGCCAGCCGTGCCCTTTGCAACAGGTGGCTCAGGAATTGAGTCTGCAGTCTGCTCTGTTTCGTCGCTTGCGTCTCCTCGTCTCCGCTAGGGCCGAGCGCCGGTGGCTGTGCATCCATGTGATCGACGGTCTGCAACAGAGGGTTATTGGGGGCGAGTGAAAATCAACGCTATACCTCTTGATCAGGGGTCGGCAAAATGCGGCTCGGGAACCGCGTGCTGATCTTTAAGGACTGCAGGTGCGGCTCTTGAAATATATATTATCTTATTCTTATTGTTTTGTGTTTCCCATGGAAGTCCAGTTTACCATGGGAGTCCAGTTCACAATGGACGTACAGTTTACCATGGAAGTCCAGTTTACCATGGAAGTTCAGTTTACCATGGAAGTCCAGTTCACCATGGAAGTCCAGTTTACCATGGAAGTCCAGTTTACCATGGACGTACAGTTCACCATGGAAGTCAAGTTCACCATGGGAGTCCAGTTTACCATGGAAGTCCAGTTCACCATGGAAGCCCAGTTCACCATGGGAGTCCAGTTTACCATGGAAGTCCAGTTCACCATGGAAGTCCAGTTTACCATGGGAGTCCAGTTTACCATGGAAGTCCAGTTCACCATGGAAGTACAGTTCACCATGGAAGTCCAGTTTACCATGGAAGTACAGTTCACCATGGAAGTACAGTTCACCATGGAAGTCAAGTTCACCATGGGCAGGATTTGGGCAACCTGCGGCTCCGGATCCGCGTGCGGCTCTTTCAGGACTGCCTCGTGACACGTGAGATATCAAGGACCACCGCCTCGTATTCACCACAGTGCACTGCGGCTCTTGAAACATTGAGATTGTTTGTGTTATACCGAATTCTATAAATATGGCTCATATTGTTATTCCGACTGCCGACCCCCGGTCCAGATTAACGGATGATGTTAAAGCCTTCCAACATGCTTTTGTCTTCCAAAGTAGTCAATGAGCATCTGTCCGATGCTTGCATCGGGTTTTACCACGTGTCGTGTCCGACGTTTTGCCCCCACGTGCCGGGGGCTTCTTCAGGAACTCCGCGCGCTCCTTTAAATTAATACATTCTTTGGAAGATCTGCACGTGGAGCGAAACGTCAGGAACTGCAGAAAGAAGCTCCCAGCACGTGAAGATAAACTTCGGACATCGTGCCGAACAACATACGGTAGATGCAATCTGGAAACGCATCGCAGAGCACTGCAGTTGAACCGAGAAATACTACGCAGTCATATTTAGCATGCAGCATGGAAGCCGATAAGAAGACGTGACGGTAAAACTCCTTTTCATTTTAGAATATAATATTTTTTGTTGTTGCTCTGGTTCGTGTTCACCAAAGTTTTAAGTAGGCCGAGTCCTGAAGAGCAACACAACCCTGTGCTAAAGTTTCGTTCATGTCGGGTCAACTTTACTAGAGTTATCGTTCGCCCCTCCGTTACGGAACGACGGGCGAAACCACCGCACAAACACTTGAGTTGGAAAGGGTTGAAGTAAAATGGAAAGTTCTGCAAGTTAATTGTCATCAATCTGGAACGACCACACCCTTACACGCATGCCCTCGTCATAGAACCGGCCACAGCCTTTTAGTCCGCGGCATACAAGGGAAGTCAAACACGTAAAATTGAAAACTAAATTCTTTAGAACTGCTTTTTTTGCATTTAGCTTGTTGCCTTTCCCACGCACCTCCGATTAGCACGGTTGGCTACGTACGGTGCGAAAGAAGTTTAACATCCGTAACATTTACAGAACGCACGTAACGTTCAAGACATCCTATCGACGTCAGAAACAAACACACGCAGATCGGTTGGTTTGGGTGGGACGCGTCTCTGGAGGCGACAATGGACTGTGGTCGAGACTCACGACGGGACGGCAGCTAAAGGAGTAGGGTGGAACACGCCCGAAGAGCACGTGGGCCGCAGTTGATGAAACGATAACAAACAAAAAAGAAATCCGCTCGTGTGCGCGAGATCGCTGGTTTGTGCTGTTTAAAAAAAAAAAAATTCTTTAGAAGACGGTCGCTTGTTGTTGCGATCGAAACTTCGTGATCTATTATTTTTTTCTACCTACGTGACTTTATCGAAAGAACCAAAGAGTACGGATTCCTGCAGTCACGAAAGCTTCAAATCAAGATTAATTTCTTTAGAACCGCTTTCTTTTTTTGCGTCTTTAGTTTGTTGTCCTTCCCCCGCACCTCCGATTAGCGCGGCGCGAAAGATGAAGAAGCGAGCACCGGACGAACCTTGGACACCGCGGCAGAGGCTCGGGGTATGCAACCCGTGCCTATCGCGGCACGGGTCAGGGCCCGGGTGCGGCACGGGGTCACGCAGCGCGCAGGCTACGACCCCGCGGCGTGGAGCCACCCTGCCCAGCCGAGGTCGCGGTCCCAGACTCGACGCCTCCCCGCAGGCGGGACCCCGCAGCCGGACGCACGGATGCAGCAGGGAAGCCCGCGCGGCACACGCCACCGCTCCTCCTTCTACCGGCCGTACACCGGGGAGCGGCTGAGGGCACGGCTGCGTCTGCAATGGATGACGCCATGGGAGAGACTCACAATGAGAAGTGTGTTTCCCCGAGTGTGTGAGTGTGTGTGTGTTTGTAATGTGCGTCGAACTTCTTTCGCACCGGACGTGGCCAACCGTGCTCATCGGAGGATCCAATCGGAGAAAATCCCATTGAGCGAAGAAGGGCGACTCGTCTCTGCAGACAACACCACAGCATACCACAAATACAGATTTAAACATATAAACTCAACAATGGCACTTAAACCGTACTACCTAGGTAAGAAAAGCAACGTACCGATAATTATATCGAGTTGTGCTCACCGCTTGGAATGACGCATGGTTTATTATCATAACAAATCCGTAATGTAAAAAACAATGTGGACATGTTTCAACTCGACGCATTCGTCATCAACTGCAGACGAATTGGGTAATGAACATTTGCTTCGATCGTATTCTGCTCCAACGAAGGGGCAGTTCCCGAAACGTCCAGATTCTGTTTATGATGATTTTTTTTATTATTATTTTATCCTGCGCACCACTGCCAACGAGGTCTGTCAATGTCGCATAGTTTCGTTGCAGAGGTTCACGGTTTGATTCCAGCAGCCGCCTTGATTAATACTGCGGATGTATTAACTTTAAAAATGCGCGCCGTCTGCTTCACAGCGGACGTTAAAGATGCTCAAAAGACATTCGCATGAATATACCGTTGTGCGCCGACATCACAGTCCAACATTTTAAAAGAAAATGTACCCGAATTTTTACTCAATTGGAATATACACAGCAGTCATCTTCCCCGAGTGTGAAACCTTGCGGGACCCTCCTAAAACGATTACGAGACTCGGTGAGGCTTTCCTGGGTAAACAAGCGTAATCGTTGTACAAAAAAAAATAACCCGAAATGAATAACATCTTTGAGTCAATAAATGTCAGTGTCGTCACCAAACAACACCGAGCGGCGTGGTGCAGCATAGCCAAACAACAACCCCCATGACCGAGATAGCCTGGATACACCTTCATCCAGCAGCGGAGCAACCCAGGACTGTAAGTTATTATAGTGTACTTGAATGAACACATTGACAAACTGCATTACTTATTCTCCGAATGTGTAACCCCTGCAGCGGCGCAGTGGTGAGTGCGCCGCGCTCTGGCGCCTCGCCCACTGAAGTTCGACTCCTGCCACGGCTAACATCAGTGGCGACTGATATCTTAACCGGTCTTGCCTCGTCCCCCGCAATATCCTTCTCAACACCGCCACTAACCGGTGCCGTGACGTCTGGTCAAACAACACACGGCCGAGGGGTTGATTTGATCCAGCTGTGCTTTGGAATGTATTGAATCGTATGATGTCCTTGACAATGGATAATCGTCGGCGTCCTTCCCACGTGTATTATAGTGCGATATATAACATTCCGAGACGCGTTCGAGCACCACCTACGCTTAGCCTGCAATCGTCTTATCACACTACACCATTCATTTTTTTTTAGATGGTGGTTATGTCATCATAGTAGCCCAGGAAGAGGACACCGATTTGGGCCGATTGCCTTTCACAGGAAGTATAGGGAATAGCCTGCAGTGGAACTTCCCGGTATTGAAAGTTCAGTGGACGAGCGAATTTATCGACGTGAGCACACTCTTCCAAAGTTAACATCGAAGCACGATTGTTTTTGTTTGCACTCAATCACGCGTGGCCGCACACGAGAACAGTGTTCACCAAAGAGTAATTCACACGGCCCCTTTGCCAATCCATTTTGCTTGACGAAGGCTCACCCCACGCCGCGTGGCTCGCGAAGTTTGTTCGACCATACTTCACCACGCCACGTGAGCGCCGGCTAAGGAAGGGGGGATAATTTTCTTTTATCAGGACCGGTTCAGATATCACACTCATCGCCGATGCTAGCCGTGGCCGAACTCTAGCTGAGTCGAACCCAAACTCTAGCTGAGTCGAACCCAAACTCTAGCTGAGTCGAACCCAGCACAGTGGAAAAAACCACTGCGCTACCGCTCCACCTGACCGACATCATCATCATCATCGGTCATGGTCAATCCACTGCTGGATGAAGGCTTCTCCTAAGCCGTCAACCATGTATCACGATTCTGAGATGTAAGAATCCACTTATAGTGTACTGTCACACGAGCCGATTTCATCGCTCCATCTCCCATAGTGATAAGAGTGCGTGCGCGTGTGTGCGTTTCTTTAAAAAAAATGTGAATTTACCCACCACCGATCGAAGAGTGCCCGCATCCCTCTTGCCTCCGCGGGGACAGTTCCGAATGAAGCACGGCTCGGCGAGTGACACACAGACGCAAAGGCAGAGGAGCATGCGCGCCATGCTATTGGCGCACATCCTCGCGTAAGCTCAATGAAAATGGAATCTCTGTTTCAAAACTCCTGCAGTGTCCCGTCCCCTTTATATACCGCACACCGTGATTCCGTACCGTTTGGTTTGTGTCGGATGATCATATTCCATTGTCACGTCGCCTTAGCCACCCACGCCTCGAGTTCCATTGTTAAATCCAATACGAGACGCCAATGCAGCGAGTCTCATTCCCGCGTGGGAGCTGGCCTTGATGGTCAATTACAGACGGTGACACCGTGCGTCACATCGACCCGGCGCGGCATTTTTTTGTCGAATTCAATACAATTTGAGCCTGGACTTGAATAATGGCAAGGGGGGACCGACGGCACGGAGGACTGGGGAAGAATAGTTCTTGCCCGTTGAGAGTGACCTCCCACTGAACGGAGGTTAACTATTGGCTTCGGTAGAGTGAACAGTACGGGGAGGACAGCAGTGCGATGAGAGAGGTTGGAGAGTGCATGAAGCGTACTGGAGTGAGATGAGAGGGGTGAGCTGGGCAGGGGTGAGTCTACAGAGGATCTTGAGGATGATTATGTAGAGTTCTTGAAATTTATCCGGCATTGCATTGGGAACCAGTGGAGGAAATCGAATTATTGGTGGGATTTGCTCAAATTTTTGGGTGCGGTTGGTACATTTTTGCAGGGGCATTCTGAATACTCTGCAATTTGGAGACCCAGGGCTTTGTGGTGACCATGGCGGAGAGCTGTGATGGTCGATTCACGAAATTGTGCAGAGAAACAGAGGTGGTAATATGGCGACGTGCGCACGTGACAGTGCATAGAAGACTAATGGTGCAGCACTGCAGTATCTTGCTCACGACACTGCTGGTGGTCTGGGGGAGCCCTGGGTATTTTGCTTACTCCACACCGACCAGACGTCCAGTAATAGGTGGGAGTCCCCACGCTTCAACACCACCACAAGCGACCTGCCGATCAACTGCGGTTCACCCATTTATGCACCAGGCGGTCGTGGGGCACAAGCCTCGAATCCAGCACTTTGGAGGCGAGGGTTGTTGGATCGCACAAATGTTGCGAAACTTCATTCTCGCACTCATTACACACCAAGTGCTTGCCACAAATGAACCACAGCACCTTGCTGATTTCGTCGAGGAGTATAAGCCATCGCGCGAACTCCGACCATCGCAGCAGCAGCGGCTTTTGGAAATCCAAAGAACAAAGCCGGTAACTGCATCGCGTGCTTCAAACGCTCTTCCTTCCGATATTAGAAAGTCACTGGAGTTATGCGCTTTTAAATCTAGATTGAAAACTCATTTACGTGGAACGGCATTTTATCTTTAGTTTATTGTCCTTCCCCCGCACCTCCGATTAGCAAAGTCGGCAACGCACGGTTGCGAAAGAAGTCCAACTTAGGCAAGTTCCCGTAAGCGGCGAGGTGTGACGCCCTGGCTTGCCAGAACGCGAAACGGAAAAATAGGGACTAAGCTCCATCTGTTCCATCTGCATGCGTTACAGTGTTGTCCCCACGCACGCACCCATTGGTTGAAAACGTCGCAATGCATGCGCACCTCCATGCATCGCGCATTGCACAGCTTTGCGAGATGTAATTTTGCATGAACGACGCCGTATAAAATCGATGATTATACCGCCGAGTGAGTGAACAGGTGCGGGTGATTTTATAAAACTGTCCCGTTGTTTCAACTCACGTGGCGGTAACATGAAAGCAAATTTGAAGACATCTGGATTGTAAGTTCGGTGTTGTGCTGTTAATAACACGACGGGAGTATGCGTGGATGAGACTTTTTTTTTTGGAATGCCCCACTGCAAAGGAAAATTGCTAACAAAAAAAATGCGTATCCTAAATTCTGTGAAAATGAGTTCTCATAAATGTTACGAGAGAAAAAAAACAGAGCAAAATGTTAAATAATTGACGAAGTGTTGTGTGCAGGATGGCATGCTTCACAGTCCTCGCGTCTTACCCGATCACCGTATATCTCTACCATTATTTTAGTGGGTATATGTAACTTGATCACTCTATTGTCTGACTCACAATGTTTTTTGCCGTCCCCTTTCTTTCAATTGTCCATACCAGAAGGCATAATCTATTTGAATCGGGGTGAAACCGTGTGCTTAAACTCAAATAACACCGACTATTTTAACTCGCACAAGACACAGGAACCTTTCTTTACGTTAACACGGAACTGGGCACCCTTCTGTTTCGCTGTTCGGCGAACATGACCTTGGGTTGCGCTTCAACGAGGCGCCAAACATTCGCCCTGTTGACTGTAATGTAAATCCCCGGGCACGTTGATTCTTAGCGCCCGAGTCCCACACTCACCGTCTCAATTCGAACACTGCCAATAGTTTGTACAAAGAGCACTGCGCGTTAGCATTCTTAGACCTGCTGATGCTTTGTTTCCTTAAATTTTCAATTGATCTTCGCAAAACCGAACGGTATAAAACAGCCGTACGAAACTTGTGTCTGAACAAATGGTTTGAGTTGTTATTCCGTCCTTTAAATAAACAAATCCTGCTCAGTGTGCATCAACTTGACTACCATGTGTCCGTGTGGAAGCTCGCTAATCGGCAGGCGTTTTCTTCCGAGACCCGCAAGATTGAATGCAACAACCATTGAGCCCACCTTCCTGTTGCACCGTCGACAATGCAAAAACATATTCATCGCCACTTTAAAGGCACGCATCCGCAAGCATTCACATTTTGCTCCACTTAATTCAAGATTTTCAGCGTTCCATTACTGCAGGCATCCGTCACTGACGTCCATCACTCACGGCACTCATTGTTAAACCAACACAGCCAAGGTTGAGGATATTTGCTCTTGAAAGAACAAATTACTCAAATAAATTCCTGCATAACCTTTTGCCCTTGTTGATTTATAACGAAGCATTGCGATTCGGCCTTTTCAGTGGCGATGAATGGCCCCGCGCATAGCAATCAAAGGCCCCGCCAAATGAATGTACATTCCATTTATTTCATGATGGAAAATGTCTGCTGCGGTCTATGTGGAAAAAAGGCTTTAGGGAAGAGCATTCTGTAAGAATGCAACATTTCCCTGATTTCAGCACAGCTATTTAGTTGACAAGTAAAAAAAACCCTTTAGGATTTCAATTTCAAAAACATTTTTCTCTCCCCTTTTTACTCGCAAACATAAAACCGCCACACATCAGTGACGTGCCATGAAGTCGCACACGTATTGCATGGCTTATTTTAGCCACCACATTTTGAAAGAGCTCAAGCCATGCTCATGAACAAAGCAAAACACTTTTAAGGGTACACTTACAGCTAACCTTGCCCAACAGAGACAGCCATTACAACACCTCCACAACCCCGATTCCATCCACCCTTGCTATTGTACGCAATATCTTCTACAAAATATAAAACGACGCTGCACAAGGCGCAAAAAAAATATACGCGTAAAATATTCCTGGCACGACGGAAAGGGCCTGCGAGTTTTCTTTCTCATAATGTCAAAGTGGGGCGCATCCACGCTCTATAAACGCTTACATTTTTTGCCAATAATTGTCAACGAATGGACTGCAACAAGTGTGATAGTGTGGAAACGCAGAAAGGATATTCTCCACAACTATCCTGGCGATTTGTACAAACCACACAAACGTGTTGGCAAGTTCACACGCATCGTTATTGGGGCACGCAAAATGGCAAGCACAATATCACACACCGCTATCCACAGTGCGAAGTGCAACAAACTCTATTTATCTTTTAAATTCCAAAACTGTCCAACAGCAACACAAATTACTTCAGCTATTAAAGGAAAATGGAAACTACATTTTAAAATACAGGACATTTTAATTCAATGTTTATACAACATTCAACTCACCCCCCCCCCCCCCCCCCCCACCAAGAGAACACACTAAATGCACATAAATTATCGTAATTATCATAATCGGGTAGTCAATAACATTTCAAGTCAAGGACTCGCTCTGAAATGGCCGGGTGGCTGAGGTCAGAGGCGACAAGCGTTGAGACCATGGGTTTTGAGTCCTGGCAACAGCCTGTGATTAAGCAGAGTTCTCGAGTGCACCCGAGGGGAGAGTTGATGGTCTCAGGCCAGCTCTCAATGCCTTTATGGGAACATTTGACACAATATATATTGGGCATTTACATTTATTTGGCATAATTCTCAGGTCGGTGAAGTCAAAATACTGGTTTGACTATCAAAGAAATAAAGCCATCTCGTAGCAGTGCCAAGAAAGGTGCAACCCCTACTTCGATAAAATCTCTACCGAGGACATTCACTGCATTTACGAGATTTCCGAATTGATTCTCTCTCAGGATGTGATTAAACAGCACAATTGGCATTTACTGGCCGAAAAAACGGATCCATTTTTTTAGTCACTCTTCCCAAGAAATATGTGTTCCTCCTTGGAGAACAGATTAGAAATGGCAGCCAAAGGAGAGAACACATGTCTGAGAGCACGATGGCATCAGTTCGTGTGCTGTTACATCGCACGCCTATTAAGAGACGGCTTGGTGAGGCCTTCATCCAGCAGTGAACAGATCATGTATGAACGGTGTCATGCCTTACCACAAAGCAGGATTCGATTAAGGAATTTAACCCTTTTTATTTACATTGTGAACTTAGCACCTCTGGAGGCTACACAGGATCACGTGCAGTATTCTGACAAGACAGGAATTGCCAATCATACATTCTAAAGCGCACGGTTCGTCTGTGTGTAGTGAACATGAAAATCAACATTGAATCGATGAACCTGTGCATCGTTACACACCTACCCAACACCCCTGCCCATTATACCACGTATAATTATTCTGTGTGAAACGGTAGCACAGTGGTTAGCACCCTCTGCTATGAATCAGGGGACCCAAGTTCGATTCCTGGCCAGAGCTAACATCAATGGCAAGTGACATCTGATACGGTACTGCCCTCCCCAACGGTCGCTTCATCAACCAGCACTGACCAATCGTGGTGAACTTCCATCACAGACAAGGCATGGGGAGGCCTTCATCCACTGGTGGATTACAAATGGCTGGAGTAAAAAACGAAAACCTTACTTATAATTATACATTTGTACTGGAAGGATCTGCCAGAGAACAATTGCAGTAAAGTTGTTCATTAAACGGCCGAGTCCCGCTTCTTGACCTCCTCCTGCAAGTGCACCGCTGTGCGTTTAACGATCCTGCCTTCCTTGTCTACAGCAAAGTTGAAGTTCTTGGGGTTATCGATGGCAGCGTCGATCCGTGCATCCAGGTTCTCAAGGGTGATGAAGTTCTTCACCTCTTCCTGGATGGGACAAAGTTACAAGACAGCTCATTGCAGGTTAAATGGTCGACTGTTATAAAACTGCTACCTGCCTGTTCATGCATAGAGTATAATACAATTATCAGGAAAAAAAACGAATATTGCATCTAAATACCCAACTGCATGTTGCCGAATCACCGGAAATGAGCCTGATCAAGGAAGAAAAGCAGGCTTCAAAAACTGGACAATGCTTGGATGGGCAACCACCATGCATTAACAGGGCGTTATAGGTTGCGGAGCGTATATCAGACGGCACTGCAGAAAAATCATATCGCGACAAATTGACTTAATAACTCGCCTTTTTCACTCACTTATTTAGTCTACTATTCTCAACAAAAGTCTACTTTCGGGCCACCCATATGTTTGGGGTGCCGTTGTGGCAAGATGTTAACTCCCTTGCCTCGTATGCAGGTCGTGAGTTCGATCCTGACCTGAACACCTGTATATTTAGGGTTTTCATGTTTTCCCCGTGGCAGGGTTGATTTTCCTCCGGGTGCTTTGGTTTTTCCGTCCATATTTAGAAACATCCATTTACAGTAATTAGCTGCTATGCATTTCCACATAAGGCACCTCATTGAGCTACCATTTGTGGCCAGGATGCTTCTGAAAAATATCTGTATAGCTCAGTGGGCCTTACCTGGTAAAATAGAAAAAGTTGATTTTGATAGTTTAGTTGTAGATGTTTTTTTCAGTACACCCCTTCCGTTGTACAAGTGTTCGTGTGTCAAGTACAAAGGTACGAACCTTTAGCCTCCGCACAATTTCTTCCCTCTCTTCTTTCTTCTTCACCTCAAGTTCAAAAATCTTCGATGCCACTTGTTGCTTGCTCTTCTCCTTAAGAAGGACTTCGCTACGATATCGCTCTTCCCTTATAATGGTGAAAGAAAATAAACACTTAGAAATGGCATGCATACCTTATTCTCAAGCTGTTGGCAGGATAAACTCACAGACCACATTTTGGTATTACCGCAAATTATTATAGAGTAGTTTCTATTTTTCAATTTCACCCAAAAGGATTGCATTTAGTTTTTAATGGGAAACTAGTGATGCTCGGCTCTCGGTTCACAACAATTTACAAATTAAAATACATTATTTTCCTCAAAAGAAATACAACGTACAGTCAATGTACAAATTGATTATTTGTAAGGGAGGTCTGGACCGCCCTACTCAATATGCTGTCACGTCGACCATCACCAGGACAAGCGGATAGAGAAACGAACGAACAAATTGATTATTTGCAATTCATGCTAATGGCATAACTGAGGCAAAACATCACATGAGAGAATTTATAAATTAAATACTACAATGAAAAAATCCCCGAATCGTGACAATTAATCGAAACACAGAGGTGGGAAGATTCGTCGCATGCTTAATAGGAACAAGAATATCCACGTGATGATGCCCAAAATAACAGGATTTTTTTTTTCTAATTCAGGGAAAAAAATATTTCAAGAGGCGCAATCCATGTGAATACGTGATGGCGGTCCCAAATAACATCACGAATCCAGTCCTTGAAGAGCCGCACGCAGCGATGGAGCCGCAAGTTGCCGACCCTTGACTGTGACTGACCTCGGTCGGAATGTAAGTCCCCCTATGAGGTTAAACGTAATCGTGCGAATGGCACGATGAAATCAAGACGTAGAAATTTTGGCCAAAAATCCATGTACCGACCTGATCAGTCGGAGGCGTTCATTCTCCGCGTTGTTCCACTCCAGCAGCTGTCGTTGCTCCTCCGCCTCTTGGACAGCACGCTCCTCAGCCCGCAGACCCAAAGACAGCTCTCGTTTCTTCACGATTAAATCTTTACGAAACTCGCGCCTGAGGAGCGCGTAGCCACAGCACCCCACAGAGAAGCATTTTTATATGTGCTACACCAAATGCCAGTAGAGGATGCCAGAAACCACACAATGAATTCTACGAGTTGCCAGCCATTATTCTACCAAAGGACATGCACCAGGAGACAGGGGAGGGAGAGATAAAAAGGTGCTTTTGTGCAAGATGGATTGTTACATCACATGAATGACGGCATTTGGAGGAGGTGAACGGGAGTGACTGACGTGATATGGTGGGGTAAGCTGGTAGCATGGGGGGGGGGGGGGATAGTAGTGGTAGTGTTTAGGTGACCAAAGCTTCATTTTTCATTCAATAGTTTTCGGGGCCTCCAACCCCACCAAACAGTGGGAGACATTTCCCGAAGCTCAGCACCAGACAGCTGTGGCTGAAATTAAACCAAGGGGAGATTGGTGGCAGTTGTGGGGTTATATGGTTGGTTGGTCAGGTGCAGAGTGGGTGTGTGGCACGTTGCCGTTTTAGGTTGTAGACGTTGATTGCTTGTTTGCTGGGGGTGACTGGTTCGGTAAATTAATGAGGTAGGTGATGAGGTAGGTAATGAGGTGAAAAACAACCAAAACTCTCGTCGTACTACAAGTTGTCACGGTTGTGTTGTGGTGCTTCACCAATGCGTGCGTGTGTCCTGATTGTTTCCGCACGTTTGTGTTTGTTTGGCGTGAACAGGTCGGCAGCCGCGTACGGCTCTTTGTGGACTGCTCTTCGTGACCGCTATTTATTAAGGATCGCCGTCTCGTATTCACCACACAGTGCATTGCGGCTCTTCATATAGAGGGGATTTTTTTTTACCGAATTCGACAAAAAAAAATGTCTCTTCTTGTTATTTCGGTCGCCGACCGCCTTGTATGGCTTTTATTTTGGTGATTTCGAAAACGTTTTTTTGGTTTGGCCATGTTTTTGTTTATTGTAGTACGGAGTTAGACTGATGGCCTTAATCTTAGTTGTATTGTGGTTGTTGTTGTTTGACTTGCATCCCACTGGGATTTTTGCACACAGCGTTGGTGTACGGTGCTATTTCAGGAATATTTTGATGTTTTTTTTTCCCTGGATTTTCTGTTTGCACAGTCACATAATCACTTTAAGATGTTTTCTTGTTCATGTTTTTGTTTTTTTGTTTGTTGCACCCGATTCAAGAGCCGAATGGCTCACAGGGCTATACCAAATAAATGGAACTATGAACCAAGCCAGATTTTCAAGAAACGACACCATCATGATGGCTGGTGCTAAGTGGGATCGTTACAAGTGGCGGCGATTTCGTGACGCCTTCATCGAGCAGTGGACTGACCATGGCTGACGATGATGATCATCACGGTTTACCATACCTGTTAACCCCTTATCAGTGCATACCTTATTAGACAAATTCAGACATTATCGGTCACCCCGTGCCCGTATTGAAACGGCTGTACGCCGTATGGACCTGAAAACTCAATTTCCCTCTGTACAAGAGTACGTGGGGTAAACCGTACGGGTTGACAGCTATATGGGTTGACGTACATAAGAGTGAATGGCATCATACCGACCCGAGGCGCGGTAGCAACCACCATCACCCCCCACCCGGGGGACAGCTGTAACCCTCAACCCCGCCCGCAGCAACCCACAAGCACCGCGTACCGTAGAGCGGCGAAGACGAATCGGTACTGCTCGTAGCGGTCACTGAGCACCATCATCTCCTCCACGTCCACGGGCGTGGGCTGTCGCACGTGCTCGGCCTTCGACTTGGCTTTGGGATCGCCCCGGGACTTGCGTCCTCGGATCTGCATCAGCGCAATCGCAAGCCGGGGCCTGCAGAAGGACGCCGCGCACGCCGCTCGCCCGCCACCGGCGGAGATCACGGGCAGCAAAGCGGCCATGGCGGGCGATGGAAGGATGAGAGCGCGGTGATCGCGACCGTGGGGAGAAAAGCGGAGCGGCGCGAGTACTTGGTGGTGGTGGGGACGACTTTGGCCGCGACGCTGAAGGAGAAGAGAGGAGAGAGAGAGAAGAGCGAGAAAGGTCGCGTCCACGTGCCGGAGGTGCCGTGGACTCCTCAGGGCGCTGCCATCTTGGCCGAGGTGGGGGTGGGGGCGACAAGCGGGGGGGTGGTCACGTGTGGACGCAGTGAAGCGCGCTCCGATTGGTCCATCCGCGAGGGCCGTCTTGTTAAGCCTCACTTCCACGACAATCACAGACTACTACCCAGCAGGGCTCTACGGATTGGGGAAAATATCTTAAGTGCGATTTGATTTTCTGACAGATATTGCGGTTTGATTTGCGATTCGATTTTTTAAAGTCAAGCTTCAGTTCAATAATCACTGTGTAATAGATTTAAAACATGTGATGGAGCATTACCACGTGATACCATTAAAATATTAATGCAAGGATGAGAATTTAAACGATATGAATTGCTTCCAACATTTTATTTATTAAAATGTTTTAATTCAAATATAACAATCAAACATAGAACAATTATTAAGTTAAATAAATAAAGTTATGACAATAAAAAATGAAACAATTCCAATAAGAAAGTAATAAGACTTTTCAAATAATTTGAAATCGATTAATCGTTCAGCCCTAGTAAGTAGTAGTAGGAGGCTACTAGTAGTAAGTAGTTGTAGTAGTTGTAGCAGGAGGAGGAGGCTACTAGTAGTAAGTGGTAGTAGTTGTGGTAGGAGGCTACTAGTAGTAAGTGGTTGTAGTTGTAGTAGGCTACTAGTAGTAAGTGGTAGTAGTTGTGGCAGGAGGAGGCTACTAGTAGTAAGTGGTAGTAGTTGTAGCAGGAGGGGGAGGCTACTAGTAGTAAGTGGTAGTAGTTGTAGTAGTAGTAGGCTACTAGTAGTAAGTGGTAGTAGTTGTAGGAGGAGGCTACTAGTAGTAAGTGGTAGTAGTTGTAGTAGTAGTAGGAGGCTACTAGTAGTAAGTGGTAGTAGTTGTAGTAGGAGGAGGCTACTAGTAGTAAGTGGTAGTAGTAGTAGGAGGCTACTAGTAGTAAGTGGTAGTAGTAGTAGGCTACTAGTAGTAAGTGGTAGTAGTTGTAGTAGGCGACTAGTAGTAAGTGGTAGTAGTTGTAGTAGGAGGAGAAGGCTACTAGTAGTAAGTGGTAGTAGTTGTAGTAGGAGGAGGCTACTAGTAGTAAGTGGTAGTAGTAGTAGGAGGCTACTAGTAGCAAGTGGTAGTAGTTGTAGTAGTAGGCTACTAGTAGTAAGTGGTAGTAGTAGTAGCAGGAGGAGGAGGCTACTAGTAGTAAGTGGTAGTAGTTGTAGTAGTAGGAGGCTACTAGTAGTAAGTGGTAGTAGTTGTAGTAGTAGGAGGCTACTAGTAGTAAGTGGTAGTAGTTGTAGTAGTAGGCTACTAGTAGTAAGTGGTAGTAGTTGTAGTAGGAGGAGGAGGCTACTAGTAGTAAGTGGTAGTAGTTGTAGTAGGCGACTAGTAGTAAGTGGTAGTAGTTGTAGTAGGAGGAGGCGACTAGTAGTAAGTGGTAGTAGTTGTAGTAGGAGGAGGCTACTAGTAGTAAGTGGTAGTAGTAGTAGGAGGCTACTAGTAGTAAGTGGTTCTAGTAGCAGGAGGCTACTAGTAGTAAGTGGTAGTAGTTGTAGTAGGAGGAGGAGGCTACTAGTAGTAAGTGGTAGTAGTTGTAGTAGTAGGAGGCTACTAGTAGTAAGTGGTAGTAGTTGTAGCAGGAGGAGGCTACTAGTAGTAAGTGGTAGTAGTTGTAGTAGTAGGAGGCTACTAGTAGTAAGTGGTAGTAGTTGTAGCAGGAGGAGGCTACTTGTAGTAAGTGGTAGTAGTTGTAGTAGGAGGAGGAGGCTACTAGTAGTAAGTGGTTATAGTTGTAGTAGGAGGAGAAGGCTACTAGTAGTAAGTGGTAGTAAGCAGTAGGACGCTTTCGCGACCAATAATAGCCACGGCGTTCCCACACGTCCAATTCAGGTGAAGCTCTTCGTCAGCGACGCGAAGCAACTTCGGCGTTTCACGGGCAGTAGGTGGCGCTCTATCGCCGCGAATACGCTCAGTTCATGGTGGGCATCAGATACAGATCTTATAATAAAAAATAATTATAATTCATAATGGGCATCCCATCCTAGGATCCCAAATGCGCAATGCATGAACGCAGTGAACTAAATAACAGAACCAGGGCAAGCGATCAAACTAAAGCGGGAAGGTCGGTTTAAAGAGATGGGGGTTTCAAAGCAGACTCCGATTGCCTGCTTTCAAAGTGGCAAGGCGTTCCATAGCTTGGGTGCCACGCTAGCAAAAGCCCGGTAGTCACCCCGGTGGCTTTGTTCTATTATTCAGCGGGGTGTGAATACCCAGGGCTAAATTTAAAATAAAACTATTTTCCGGAGCGCAGCCCGTTGGACAGCTCCGTCTGAAATTAAGGCCAGAGCACACGCCTTTGTCTATGAGAGATGTCTGACAAGAGAGCACAGCCGACTGCAGATGTACAATAGTCTGGTTGTTTCTCGTGGATAATTGGTACGTTGCTAAATGTATTCATGGATCATCGGAAAATACTGAATCTAGTACTGCATTTATTTACAGTTAACGGAATGTATGCAGCATGCAACGTGGCATTTATAGTGATACAATATTCATTACGATTTCAATTGTCACCGACGATTCCGAAAATAAATTTTGTTAAGTAAAACGCAAACTATTAAAGACATGTACATCAGTGCAAGTTGTTACGTGTTTCCTTCCCCTGCGACTCTGATTAGCGCGACTGACTATGTACGGTGTGAAAGAAGTTCAACATATATACAACTCAGGCTAATTTGATGATGATGATTTACAGCAATATATTCAAGTAGTGCGTACTTCATCCAGCGGTGGATTGACAATACGTAACAACAACTGAAGTTAAACATGTTTTGTTAAAATTGGTGTTTAAATAAATTTAATGACACTTTCAATATACATTGCCTTTTAAATAATGCTCTACAGCACTGCAGAAGTAGCAAATACACGTCTCAAGACATTGCAGCATACCCATAGCAATTGCATAGTTTTTCTTAAAAGTGGGATGTTATTGTCAAAAATCTGTATGTGAAATTCCAAGTTTAGAAGGAAGCGTTCGGAAAGTGAATCGGCACACACACACTTCCTTGCAACTTAATATTTCACGTAAAGAGGATTTTTTTTAAATCAAATAACATACCACTTTCAAGATGAATCATGAGTTGCATGGAACTATACTGAATGTGACTTAGTGACACACACACACACTCCCGGTGTACTCAACCCCTTTCTTGTTTAGCAGAAGGATTAATAACCAGTTAATGGAAAGGGACACATTTGCAATTTTCTGACTCATTTGCGAGCTTATAAAAGGGCCTTATGTGTGCTCTTGTAGCATCAGTCTCATTCTGCGTCGTCTTATAATTTAAAGGCAGTGCAATAATGCCTTGGGGAGGCGCGTCCTCAAAGCTGATTTTTGCAAACCCCCAAGATTAACAAACCACTCGAGAGACGCACACATGCGCCACAAAGCCACCTGCAAATTAACATGCGCTCTTCTTTGCACAGTTGTTGTGAGTCCTATAACTTCTGAGCAATCCATAGCACTTCACCAAATTCCTTGCCCACCCCCTCCAACAAAGCCATTGCAATTCCAACGACAGCCTTCCATCGCTCCGATATATTATTCCACGGCACATTACAAAAAAAAGTAATTCTTTAATTATTTTTTTGTTTTCTAATTATCGCACGGGTCCCTGCAGACGAAGAAAATTCCCACTCCAACCCACCACCCAAACCACCCATCCACCACCAACCAACCATCCCACTCACCCGCTTCCCCCTGCCACCCACCCATTACCAACCGCCCTCTCCCCCGCTAATCAAATATGCAAGAGCTTTACTAATTAAAGCCCGTTTCCTAATTAGAGCTCGCACTTAATTAGGGTGCATTAGAATACGAGGCAGTGGCCTGCGGGGATTGCACAGACCCCCCCCCACTCGCAGCCCCCCCAGCCGCCACCATCTCCCAGACTCAACACCCCGTGGTTCGTGAAACAAAAAGTGCAAAGTTTTTTTGGCAGAAGGGGGCACGCCGAGCTTTGTGGGGGATTAGAAGGGAATTTATTTTTTCTTAGGTCTAATTAGTTTGGAGAATTGTGCGATGTAATATTGATTTTTTTCCCTCCTCTCCTTGCACTGGCGTTATTTTAAATAATGATTATTTACTTATTTTCATTACTTTGTATTTCTTTTTTTTACAAATTAAGCTTTGGAATTATACGGATGGAGTGCTTCGAATGCGTACTGAAAAGTACATCCGTTTTGCCGTTCTCCCCTAGCGGCATTAAGTTGTTCATTATTCCAAAAAAAAAGATTATTCTTGTCACTTTAACGCCTAATTTGAATATGAAGAGTTCGTAACGCTTATTAGACTCAGCCATAAAATTGTAGAATATAACTATTTTTTTTTACAAAAAAAGGTAAACTGAATCAACGCTTTACAAAAGGTATAATCCCGTGTTGCTCAATTTCATAATTTTCGTCCTTTGGCAGACATCGTGTGCTATTACGCCCTACTGCACACGTTGCTTGGCAGACAAAAGCCAGCACTATTTCCCATTCGAAAAAAATATATATGCCGTGTCATTTCTAATACTTTATATATATATTTAAGCATTCCTGTGTAGGTGTGTCAATGTTTTAACATATAAAAATACAAACTTGAGTTAAATGTCAAATAGCAAATATTTTGTTCGCAGTATTAACCCATGTACCAGTCTTTTTTTCTACAACATCGTGTAAGCATTACTTTATAAACATTTACAAGCAGCTTTAATTTTGTTTAGGTAGCATTTGGCTTAAACACGATACAGGAAACACATGGCCCAATTAAACACACGTGTCGGATGGAAACTAAGTTATTTTTATGCATAATAAGGGATATTAAAATTCTGTAACACTTAAAATTACAATAATTATTTGCTATTAAACTATCTTCGTGTAGTACTTTAACATCAGGCAACTGTTACACAACGTCATAACGTTAAGTGTCTGATTCTCAAAACCGTTTGCCAGTCATTTGTATGGCACCTGAAGTATACGTGTGCCTCAAGTATTACATTAAAATGTACATCTACACAA